GTACCGAGAAGGAACTGAACCGTACTGAATCGAATGGTCGGTACGGTATTTGGGAACGGTAAGAGATGACGTCCCATACCGAAAATCCCGAACTGAAATATATACTACTCCCTCCGTCTCATAAAACATTTCCTGTTTCAAAAATGGCACGCCTTTAAAATGAGTAATTTTAGTGTTATTTTTTAATGATGACTAATTTATTCTACTCATCTCATCCTATTCTTTTATAAAGTAAGGGCAAAATTAGAAAATAAGACCAAAATTACTCATTTTAAGGGCGCGCCTTTTTTGAAACATGAAATGTTTTATGGGACGGAGGGAGTAAAATATTACTCACTTCGTCCCAGAAAACCTTTCTCCTTTCTTTTTTCATCCGTCCCAAAAAACACTTCTCATTTCTATTAACATCCATCCTAAAAATCAAAATGAGAACATCTTAGGGGGACGGAAAGAGTATATACCCCTACCATTTGGATTTCACTTCTAGGCATTTTGCATCGTAAGAGCCAATTCTAAAATAAGTTAAAGTGGCATGCATTATTTAAGAGGGACAAGTGGTGGGGATAAAGTGGCGTTGAAACCGTCAACACTAATTGGTTGCCAATCTGACACGTACTTACCCAACCAATTGGTTGGGAAAAAGAATGGGCATAACACACGTGGCAGTCAATGATTAGCTCCCTTCAGAGGTTCTGCATTATACTCCGTACTTCCCTTCCCCCTCCTCCGTCCATAATTACTCCCACGGTCCCACCCTCTCTAAATATTCACAACATTTACTTTTTCAGCAGTGTTGGGAACTTTTGTTTATTTCGACGTTTTCATTGATTATTTGATAAAATAAAATATTCTTGACACCTCTTATTTCCAAGAACTTTTCATGTAGTTTCTTTATATATAAATTTTATTTTTTATTTCTTTACCAATATGTAAATAAAATGAATTGAAAAAAACTTGAAATTTTACCTCGAGAATACAAATGTGGCAAATAATTTGGGACGAAGGGAGTATTAATTACTCCGTATTTTCCATTTCAATTCTTGGAAGGATTCTTTATAACAAGGTATTTTCTTAAATTAATCATCAATGAGTATTTATTATTACTATGATATATTGTACGGAGTAATTGATATATATATATATATATATATATATATATATATATATATATATATATATATATTTCCTAAATAGTTTTTTGTCAAAAATATTTATTAAATGTTAGTTAAATAGAAAGTATTTTGGTATTTCATATCATCGAGACTTAAACTATATTCTTGAAATACTCCTTTATAATTAAATGTTTTTTCAAACTGATAATGCTTAAGTGAGTGTTTTCCTGAAATGAAGTCCATGAGCCGACTCGGGTTCCTCTAGCAACCACTCCAGTTAATTTGAAACGGTCATTTTATATATGGACTTACTCATAGTTCAGATTATGGAAAATACCAAAAAATCTTCCATTTAACTACTTCCCATGTCCCTAAATATTTGCTACATCTCGCAAAACGAGGTAAAGTATTAATTTTTTTTAATGCATTTTATTTAAATATTGATAAAGAAATAAAAAATACAATTACATATTTAAAAACTACAAGAAAAAATTCTTCGGGATGAGAGGTGTCAAGAATAATTTATTTTATTAAATAATGAATGAAAGGTACAAACAAAAACAAAAGTTCTTATGATGGTTGAAAAAAGAAATGTGACATTTTTTGGAAAGGTGGAAGTATCATTTAATATGCATATTTGGCAGAAGACTGTTTAGGAAACACATCACAATTACAAGAGACCACGTTGGTAATTATTACTTATTTAAGAAAACACCTAATTAGAAATGACTATTTTGAGAACTCATTTTGTTAACAACGTACAAACTAAAATAAAAACAAAGAAACACATTCATTTTATACTTTGTTCATTAACTATGATTTTTTGAAAAGAAAAATATACATATTTTAATCTATATCTAAAGTTCTATAAAATTTCATCAACAAAAAAATTTCGGATGAATTTTATTTAAAAGAATCTTGTTTAATCATGTGAATGGAAATTATATTTTTCTCATTTGGTGGCATGGGAATTTGGTGGCATGGGAATAGTATTTATATTCTTTTTAGTTTGTGTTTTATCAAAAAATGACCTGACCTGTTTTTGACACGAAACCCGACCTGAAAACACTGGGTTTTGAACAAAGGTTTTGATAACCGAACCCGAAATGACTCACTAAAAATGGGTAATTATCTTACTTTTTTTACTCGTTTTAAGTGTATAAATTTATATTTTCAGACAAAATTTTAATGATATTGCATAATTATCTTAATTTTTTCGAAAACTTAAGCATTTTTAAATTTCTTATATTGATTTATATATCTATAAACTACTTTAGAGTTTAAAATAAAATAATTTTATAAATTTAATAAATTTTTTTTTGATATTTTAAATTTATTTAATAGAAAATGTAGGTGTTAATGTGAATTTAAAAATTTAAAAAACCAAAGTCATAACCTGTTGGATCGACTCGAACCCAATGACACTGAGTCATGAACATATAGTTCTCAACCCGAACCCAAATGGACCCTAACTCAAAATAATCCAAACTTGAAATGGCCGAACTCGAACCCGACCTGACTGACCTATTTGCCAGCTCTGGTTAGGAGTATATGAGCATTTTGCCATGAAACGAATAATTTACTCGTTATTTTTGTTTCTTTATGGAGCCCACTTACCATGTATGGCACTATGGCAGTATCTGATTCTTTCCAATTTGAGGTTTACATACAAGAAAAATAGGGGTACACCAAAATGTACTGCATTTGTTATTCACCCCCTCCTCCACCACATAAATGGGCAAGTATTTAAAAAAATTAAATAAATAAAAAGATGATAAAAATGAGTAGTGGAGAAGGGGATGGGAGACAAATGGGGTACACCAAACCCCTAGCATTGCTCTTACATACTCCTACAATTATGGATGGGCGGTACGTACGGTCAATTCAGACTCGACCACACTCGGTAAGTTGGTATTTCGGGTACAAATACTCCATGCGTTTTTAAAGCAATAACTTATTCTCTTTTGTGGTGAATTTGGTTCTTAATTCATCATAGGTTATATACTTCCTCCGTCCCTAAATATTTGTCACACTTATATTTCCGAGACAAAATATCAAATTTTTTAAATTCATTTTATTTACATATTGGTAGAGAAATAAAAAATAAAATTTACATATCAAAAAATTACATGAAAAGCTTTCGAAATAAGAGGTGTCAAAAATATTTTATTTTATCAAATAATCAATGAAAACGTAGAAATAAACAAAAGTTCTCGCGACTGCTGAAAAAGCAAACGTTGCAAATATTTTGGGACGGAGAGAGTATGTAAGGAGGTAAAGTCTAGGTAAATACAGAAACAAGATCTTCTGAATAATGAAAAAATAATATATGTGCTATATTTAAGATTTTTAACTTATTTTTATTATTTATTTTTTTATTGAATTATATTAGATCAGAAAAAATTTTAAATACTCCCTCTGTTCCTTAATGATTTACACATTTTATTATTCAAAGATCGTGGAAACATTTGTTTATTTGTGCGTTTTTATTGATTGTTTGATGAAATAAAATATTTATATCACCTCTTGTTTTGTAAAACTTTTGATGGTCTTTTTAAATATGTATGTTTAATTTTTTTGTTTATATACCAATATTAAAACATTAGCTAATTATTGAGATAGTACTAGTTAATTTAGAATAATATTCAATTTAGGCTCTGATATTTTCGATTGAAAAAATAGAGTTTGATATTAAAAGAAATTAGAAAAAATTGAAATCAACTAGAAGAAACTATAAGCACTTGAAAAAAACTAGAAGAAGTTGGAAACATTTCAAAGAAACATCTTATCCTTACCCATTTACTGTGGTCAAAATTTTAAAATGTTGACTAGAACACATTTCAAAGAAACATAGTTAACAAAAATTCCAAGATCACAAAGAAAAGTATAAATTAATTAATTTAAGATTTTAATAATTTAAGTTACTCTATAATGGTAACTAAAATTTTATATCCAATAATTTTTTGATAAATTTTGATAGCATATCCTTTTTTAGTTTTATTGAGATAATAATAATAAGAATATATGAAAATAAACATAAATTATTTTTAAGTCATTGTCAAAAGAAATTGGATAAAATTGGAAAAAACTAGAATAAATTTAAAAAAATTAGAATGAGTTAAAAGAAACTAGAAGTTGGAAAAAACCAAAAGAGGTTAGAAGAAACTAGAAAGAATTAAAAAATATTAGAAGTTAAAAGTTAACACTCAAAAGAGCCGAACCTTAGTCTCTTGACTAATAACCGTCAAAATTAAACGGCTCAGCTTAGTCCCCAACTAAGAGTTTAGACCAGTTTTCAGTTATAATTTTTTTAAATTAAATTTAGTCAGACATCGTAAATTAACATTAGCGCCTTATTTCTAACCTCAGGAATAAATAAATAAATCATGCTTATTAAATAATTTATTTATATGATATTTTTTAAATAATTATAAACCATTTGAAACGTTACTTTCAAATTATAAAATTATAATTAATTTTTATTTATTATATTCTCATTCTATAAAATTTAAAATTATTTCTTTATATTTATACTCCCCAGCAGAAGACTAAACAACTCATTATTCTTCATTAATGAGTACTATAATTAGTTTAACTTAGAGAGTAATTTGAAAAAATATGAAATTATTGAATATCATTTTGACAATTTATTCAATCTCTTATTTTACTTCGATAAAAATGAAATAAGAAACCAAACAATTCCTTTTTTATAGCTATTGTGGACATATAATGTCCAAACTATTTCAAGTGAATCTTCATATGAGAGTGTCGTAAATAAATGCTTACTACTTGTTGTGGGTCTAGCCCATTTTCATTTGGGTTCCATTTTTCTTTGTGGGGATCCAATAATAAGAAAGTTTTTCCTTTACTTTGTTGACTAACAAAAAGGAGAAAAAAGGGCTGGGCAGTGGGGGACTTACGGACAGAGCAGAGAAAAAAAACAGAATAGAGAGAGGAAAGGTGCTGGTGCAGAATTTACAGACCAGCCGCACAAATTCAATCATCGCCGGAGATCCAACCGTTGGATTGAGCTGAAATTTTCAGAGGTTGTGCCCAACACTTAGGGCTTCAATCTGTTCAAGTTTCACATTAATCGGATCTACGGATCTTCTGTAATCGCAGCTGGTGCGGCGCTGCGCTTTTGGGGTGATAATCCTGATTTTCCTTCTCTATTGTTGATGCCTCTTATGTATGTTGTTGTTGGTGGGCTGTGACATCCTTGTANGGGTGTTTTTACCCTCAATTTGCATAATAAGAGAAGAAGAGGGCGGACTCCCTATAAGTCCCGTGGTTTTTATCCTTCACATCGAAGGGGTTTTCCACGTATAAAAATCGTGTGTCGTTTGCATCTTTATTCTTCATATTTGATTGTGGTTTATTTGATGTGCTGCTGATTTTGTGTGCTTGGTTAATCAATTGTGGTAAATTGGGTCAAGTGTTTGGTTGGTTGTCTTGAAGTTGATCCTTGTAGGTGTCGTATCCTACTTGTTGCTTCTCCCCCAACACTACTATGATAAAGTTTTTATTTTTGTAACAAATAAAAGAGAAAAAATATATATGAGAAAGTCCATAAAAAAGATATGATCATAAATCCACCAAAAAACGCTCTATGTATTAAGGAAAATATGTTTCTAAAACTGAAGAAAGACTTATTGAAGATAAAAAAACAAATTCTTAGAAACAAATCCAAAACAAAATACGGTTCATGTGATGAAAAAAAAACAACGAAAAAATAATTAACTAAATAAAAAATGCATAAGAAACAAACAATAAACAACAACAAAGCCTTATCTCACTAGGCGGGGTTGGCTACATGTATCAAACAATGTCAGTGTGAGATCATTCATGTGAAGGTCTTCCTCCTTTGATCATTGTTTGCGAAGTATTTTTAGGTTTATCTCTTCCCTACTTTCCAAAAAAAAGTTCTAGTTTAATTTTTACCGGGGAAAAAGTTTTAAATTTGATAAGATGGGAATATGTGATAATTGAATTTTTTTAGTCACATTTTACTTCTTTGATAGGATATAAAATGATTTTTTAGACTTCCAAGAAAGTAAAATAAGAAGACTTTTATGAGGGAAGGGTGACATATTTTAAGTACATTGATGGAAAGAATTATGGGAATGAGTCCATGTAAAGGGTATCCTAAGTGTTATACCAACTCTCACCCCACTTTCTCACATACATTTACAGATACTAAGATCATATTCTTCTCTACTTATTTTTTTTAATTATTACTTATTCTTATTAGAATCAAATTAGACCAGAAATAATTTTAAATATAACTATATTCAAATCAGATCAAATTAGACCAGATTAAAACTGATTTCAATCAGATTAGGTGAGGAGAACATGGCGTAACACTATTCTTTATGAAAGAAAAAAAAGGATGAGCCCCATCGGGAAGGACCCCTCAAATATTGTTGATGAATATATAAGAGGTGTTGGAGACTTGCAGATCAATTTTTTAATGCAGGTTAAATATACTTTGGGTCCATGGAAAATGATCGATTCTTACTTTTAATCCTAAAATATTTGTTTAATTAAATCCTCCCACCAATTTAGAGTTAACTTGTCAGGGTTTAAAGGGATTGTAAACAAAATTACTTCGGATTTAAGACATTTTGAAGGGACCAAAATCAAAATCATTAATTTTATAGCGACCAAAAACAAATTCAACATTAACTCTAAATAAAAAATAAATAGTGAAAGGAAAAATATTTTAGAGGGATGAAAAGCAAAAGTCTCTTAGCGCTTGAAAATAATTGTGAGATTTCATATTTTTGAATGATTGTTGGTGAATGTAAGCATGGAATGAGAGCAAGTAATCTGCTTGTTTTCCTCATTAGAGTGATCTTTTATGAAAGATCAACAAATTGGGGACTGATTCATCTGATTTCATTGCAAATGTACTCAGTTTATGTCAAATTTAGTTAAACTAACAAGAAAATTTTAAAACACAACTACTATACATAGTGCATGTGATGATTTCAAATATGGATACCTTACTGGAAGCTTTGAACGTTAGTCGTCTTCTTCATCAGAATCTGAGCTTCCATATTCATAACACTCGTCACTATTTCCATTATCTTCATCATCATTAGTGTCGCGTGTCTTCTTCTTCTTCTTCACCGGGATCATTTACAACACTCAACAGCATCAAGCTGAGGCAAAATGTCAAGTCCTTTGCTTCGATAGTTAACATTCCTATCAAAATCATCGGGCAGCCCAAAATCCCATTTCAGCTGATGCAGAATTCATAATTGTTTTTTAAAAAAAACAGAGAGATTTTGCTCTCAAAAAGTATACCGGTGGGAAGAGAGTGCGTTTAAGGATGGTAACTCTCTCCTAGGACCAGTTGGGGTGGTTGGTTAACTTGTCTATACGCCCATGCTATGAGCGTATTACAGGAAAACAGATGTAGGATATCAATCATTTGCATCACCATCCTTCCTTTCAAGGCCAAACATATCAGTCTCGCAACCACATCGTCTTCACCTCAAAATAACAGCAACTCAACAGTTAGAACTACAAATACAATATCTACGTGTCTCTCTTCAGAGCAAGTTTCTAGATACTTTATTTTTTTTGACATTTTGCATCTTTAAATTAATATACTCATTCACGTAATTTCGTAATGCATCACATCAGCAACAACAACAACAAAACCCAGTGAGGAATGGGGTCAAAACGCACGAATTCTGTAAAAACATAGAGACTTGTTACCCTTAATGTGTACTACTCATGTATTCTACCCAATATTATTTACCGGAAGCTAAAACATTGTCAATAGTGAATCTTTTTTACCAATTGCCAATGGAGTTACTCAAAAAACAAAACTAGTTGAAAACTGAAATAGAGTTTATTTGGCTAGCAAATCCGAATGCAGATTCCATATCTAATACGAACTTCAAAGATTTCTTTTCCCTTAACTCTTTCGATCTTACTACATACAAAATCACGTTTGAGCAAGTCAATTTTGATAAAATCACGCTTAGGGTACACCAAAACTGTACCACAAGTGTATATAACAGCCCCATACCACACACATTTTAACTAGTGGTGTATACTTGGGGTACCCCTAGCATTCCCCTAAGGGAAAAGGTTTGGACCTTGGAACTTCGGATGACTTTTGAGTGGGTAACGGGTTTTAGAACAAGGTTTACACATTTTTTTATAATAATGTCTACATCTGTATTCGTCTTTGATGTATAAAGTGATAGTGTAACTTTGGGGGTACTCCTAACATTGCCCTCTAAAAATTTCACCGACATGTTCCGTCGAGCTTCAAGTAATATTCTATTTGCAGTTTTTTTTATTCGAAACAATGATGAATTTCCATCAATTATGTATTACTTTCATCTTATTTAATAGTTTATGATATTCAAAGATTTTATTTAAGAACCGGTATTAAATTTAAAAATAAAATTTAAATATTTAAATATTATATCAAAAGATCTACAAAATAAAATGTGGCATGAATATATTATTTTATCAAATAGTCGAAGCATAATAAAAGAAAAAATCATTTGACTCTATAAATCGTAATTGTAAAACACGTGAATTTCAACCTTTCTAATAGGGGGAATGAAAGATGGTGTGAGCTATTTAATCATTTTCTAAATATGAATAAGACGATTATTTTGGAACGAAGAGAGTAATTCACATGAATATGAATTTCAGCCTAAAAATTAGTCCGGTTAAAAAGATGAATACGAATATGAATTGGCAGAAGAACTTCTTTGTCTCTTTTAGTGAAATGTTTTCTCTTTCTCTAACTCTTAAAATGGATAAAAACCAATATTCAAAATTAATCTAAATTGATACATATTATAGCTACCCTCTGACCAAAATTCATCTAAATCAACATGTACTCTAATTGCTCTGTACCTATACGAGCACTATCAAGGCACATAGGATGTGCAGTGGTGCCCGAAAAAGACGAGGATTGCTAATGTAAGAAGGGTGTGGTTTGGGCTCACCAGTCTAATACGTAAATGGCAGGTGTCGTATTATGTTGTTAAAAACAAATTTCTCATTTTGGTTAAAAAATCAAGAAGATCGATGCCAATAATGCAGTAGGTGTAACTTTGCCGTAAAAAAAAACTTTGCAAGTGTAAAATTCAGCAAATTTGAAGATGAATGCTGTGTATATTTCACTAGTGTCAATCATTATATTACATATTTGGCCTTCAAGTACTTGGTCCTACTTTTACGTATGTTTTGCGCTTGCAATTCATACAACATGCTAAAGAAAAACAATTTTCACAAAATTCCATTTGGGAGTAGAAGTGGCTTACAACTTGTATATATCACAAAGCTAATTCTCTGTTCAAAACATTGTTACTCTTTCCAAAAACATCAATTGCTTTTGCATTAGTTCATTTGGTTGGAATTAGTCATTCGAACTTCTGTTACCGTCTTTCTTCAGTAAAAGCTATTTTTTTGAATATTTTTTCAGTTTGAAATCTTAAACCAAGTCTTCTTGCTTACTTTTCATGGTTTGATTTCTGTTATTTGTTCTGTTTGAAATGTTCTATAGTACACCTCCAAAACAGCAAAAAGTTAACATTCAAACGGTAAGAGAACACGCTTGTTAAGGCACATAAAACTTTCCAATCTCAAACAACAAAATCGGAAATACGCATAAAATTGTTACTAATTTCTCTATTTGTAGAATTGGAATCACATCGAAATCAACATACAAAGAAGAACCCAAAATTCAACGAATCCAACATTGAAGTTTCTAAAAAAATGCCACAGATTGCAGGAGAAAAGCAGAGTACCTGATCCAAGAAGAGACAAAACAAAGCGGCACAGCGAGCACACCAAAACCAGCCTGAGTACAAGGGGTTAACCAAATTAGAATTGCTTTGAAGAAAGTTTTAAAGCAATATCAAATTCAAAATGAAATGCATGCCTTCAAAGAATCAAATAGGAAATCTAATTTTTCTTTTAACAAAAAATGAAACATCCAGATTCAGAATTGGAAATCAAATGAAACCTATTATAACCGAAATTTCAATTATACCCTCGCCGACTTCCAAATGACTGTTCAAAGAGCTACTCATGGTCTTCTTGTTGGAAGACTCATATGAACTTTCTCATGGCTCTGAAATTTCTTTGGCCCAAGCAACAAAAAAAATTCACCAAAGAAAGATCCTTGCCTGTTAGATTTATATAAGATTCACATAAAATTGGCTGATCTATAATAACAAGATTCTACAAAACTTGGGTTTAAATTAAGAAAACAAATTTTAGTATGTAATTGACGGGAGTAGGGGGTGTGTTCGGGTCGGGGCGAGGGGGTTTACCGGGGTTAAAGGGGGTAGGAACCGTCAATTTTACGAACGGGGCACCGGAGCGCCCCCGGGTTATCCCATGACATTGGAACCCAATGTCATGGGAACTTTGGGGTCCAAAATAATAGATTAATATTTTGACACAAAATGTCAGTTCAATACAAAATTTATGTTGATATTTTGTGTCATTGTAGACCATTACGCTCACATTACACTAACACAAAATATTGATGCTTGAATTCGCGGTACAAATTGGAATACAATTTTTGGATACACATAGTTTAATTCTTTTGGTAACGGGGATGGAGAAAATATGAATATGATGGGGCAGTCAAGGTTGCAAATGTCATCTAGAGTAATGGTAGAATCACAAACTGCACTCTAAAGTATTTTAATTTAAAATTTACAAAATGCAAATTTATAAACTTTTTCTACTATTTGTTTGCTACTCTAACATTTTCAAATTTGTTTAGACCTCGTCCATTTTTGTGCAACTATTGTTTCATTCATATAAAATGCTAGAGTCACAAACAAATAATTTACAAACTTCACGAATGTGTTTTTTGTGAATTTTATATTAAAATATTTTTTATTATTTGAGTGCATCTTAATTCTAGTGAAATGTGAAAAGACAAGTTTGTGAATTTTATGTAATGTTTATTTGTAACTCTAACATTACACAAAGAAATTAGAAAGATACTTCTGCTTAATAGAAGGCAAAATTGGTGGAATATTGTCTATAATGTTGAGAGATTAGAGATTAAGGAATATGGGAGATAAAAAGGCGAGATGCAAGCGAACCGTATTTGGACGGAAAAGTAATCAAACTTGATTGAAAAGTAGTAAATTCTCAAAACGTAATGAATAATTATATGTTTTCTGAAATTAGTCTCCAAGATAAACTAATTACCGAGATGATACTTGTTATTAAAGAATAATGCTCAGTTTATTTTCCGACTAATCGTCTTCAAAACGACGTTAAAACTTATTCAAAATTCCTAAAATAGTCCTCTCTAATTTTAGATAAATTTTCTCTTTTTAAAACTTATTCAAAATTCCTAAACTTATTAAGATGCTAACGGTTATTCAACAGAATTTTTAGAATGTTATTATTTTTCGAAAATAAATGAAAGGTGGTATAATTTTAGATAAATTTTCTTTTTTTCTTTTTTAAATTTCTAACTTTAAATGTAAATTTATTATTTAAAAATGTTTTTATAGATAACACCAAATTAAAGTGTTTTTCAAAGCGGACCTAATAATTTTTTTTCAATAATCGATAATATAGTAATTTTTGTTTTTCCCAAAATAAAATTTCAAAAGTCGTGAAATTGCACAATAAATTACTTTTCACAATGGAACTAGTTTATTTATTTCACACTTCAATACATTTTTTGTAAGTTGTAATTATTTTGATACTATACTATTATTATTTTTAAAAAAAATGGCACTACAAAACTTTTGAATATTTTTTTGATAATTATGCATAAACGTTTTTGCAAAAAAAATATTACAGTAGTTGTAAAAATAACACAATAAATTTTTCTCTGAAATGAAACTTTTATTTTAATAACTCTCTACATTTTTTATTGTACTCCAATTGTTTTCATGAACGACACTCCCAAATATTTATCGATAATCTTTTATTACCCGTATTATTTTTACGATAATTCTGTATAAATTTGTTCCCAAAAATTACAATTCAAAAGTTATGAAAATGACACAATATTTTTTCTCCAAAATAACACTAATTATTTTTATAACTCACTACACTTTTTTTGTATTGCAATTTCTTTCTCGAGTGATACTGTAAATTACTTTTCGATGATCCAATATTATATTTTCACCACAGAATAGAATACAAAATTTGTAAATTGTTATATTTAAAAACAAACTGAGACAAACATCTAACAAAATTGTACTATTATATTTTTTAAAAACATAAATTTAAAATTACAAAAAGAAAAAACTAAATTGACCTAAAATAATCTCACATTTATTTATTAGTGAAAACAGACATTTTCCAAAAAATTTGTTTAGTGGTCGTTAGTTTGTTAACGGCGACTAAAATATGCACATATAAAAATGTGAGATTATTTCTTGTGACAGTGAAAAGTGGATTAATTTTGAAAAAGACGTGAAAAGTGGGATTATTTAAGTTAAGTTTTCCAAAATATAAAGAATCAAATTAAATTAGGATTTGAAATGACTCGCCTGAAGGCCATATTCTCCCCAACTTATTTTTTTTCTACTTATTACTTATTCTTATTGTATCAGATTAGACTAAATCACATCAGATTAGAAATAGCTTAAATATAACTAAATTTAAATCAAATCAAACCAGAGCATAATTAAATCTGATGTAAATTTATTCCAGTCAGATTAGTTGACGAGAACATGACCGAAGTCCGGACTACTGGTTACTACTCCATCTACAAACGACATCGTTTTTTTTAAAAAATTTAAAACCTAAAAGTAGTTTTTTTAAGGAAAAAAACTTAGATTTTCCAAGAGGGGTACGCTATCAGAGTCGCCACCGCTCCAGGCACGTCGCACGCAGCATCCCGAAAAGTCGCCGCCGTCTGCGGACAGCCTCCGCCGCCGCCTACGCCGCTAGTTCGAGGCCTTCAGTGCTCCTTTCCACCGCCTCCAACCTCCAGGTAAATCCTCGATCTCAAATCGGTTTTTCTTCTTGGATTTTGTTCTATCAACCTAAATACTCCTTATTTCTTCTAATTATTTTAGTGATTTAAAAATTGTGATTCATGATATGTAAATTTTTGAATTCGTGGATTTCTGAAGTACGGAGCATATATTTGTCAATTGTGGTTAGATTAATTTTCATATGAACATTATGAAGGTTTAGGTTTTTTACTACGGGTATTTTATTTAGTAAAGTGCAAATTAAAGGGGGCCTGTTTATTTTGAAATTATTTGAATTTAAATAGGATGCAAAGTTATTTTAATAAGATGCCAAGATTCAAGAGCTCGAATCAAGTGAGAATCCATCTAATTTGAATTTGAATGCTCATTCTTCTCTAAGTCAACTGTTAGAACAAACTTTTAGTGAATTGTAGACTATCATCCAAATGGGCAAGATGAAATACACAGAAAATTGCATAGTAGTTATCTCAATAGATGATTTCCACCCCAAAATTATGAATTTTTCCGGAAAAGATGTAGTTTTGTTTCGTCTTGGTTTGATGATTACTCTTGGTTGGAATATAGAATAGTAGTCCCTTTCATTTTTCCTATTACATGTTTAAGAATGTGAGTGACTTTGGAGGAATGGACGTAAGTCTCAGAATTTTCACACTACTATATGTTACCTTTAATTTTATGGTTCACGCTGTTACTTAATTTAATGGATCGCGCTATATGTTACCCCCAAATATGTTATATGTTGTTTTAAACAAGGTATACCATAAGTTTAAAAACAAATCTGTTTTCAAATTGTAAGTTATTTACTCCAAGTATAAGTTTTTGAGTATTCTATTTTACTCATGTCCCTAAATACCTTTCTGCTTTTTTTTATTATACTTTTAATGGATTTAAAGAAGGGGTATTTTTGTGTTGACTTTCAAAAAATATTCTTGACGTGAATTGTGATGGGTAAAAGTAGAATGTGATGATTAGATTATTAGTGAATGGATATGATGTGATAGGTAGGATAAGAATTAGTAAGGGTAAAAATAGTTTTTTTTAACAAAAAGTGGAAAAGTTTTAGAGGACGAACGAAAAGAGAAAGGATAAGAATATGTAATACATATTTTATTAAATAAAAACTGCCAATAAGTAAACTGATTTGAATTTAAAGCTGATTTTAATATGAAAATGTATATCTCGTGGATCAACCATTGCTTATTCTAGCTATATGTTTTATAAGTATTAAACTAAAATGGATAAGAAATAAGGTTTAATTTGTAGGCACTCCGACACACGTAACACTCATCTTGTTCTTCTCCTGTTTCGTGAGCACTCCATATATGCTAAACTACAACTAAACATGTATATAAAGATCCCCACTTGTATCACAAATGGCTCTTGCATAACTTAAAGTTACATTTTCATCCCGTGATTAGATAATTTTAGCCTTTTGGTTCGAATACTATTCACAACTTTTTTTGCTTTGACAAAGATATCGATTCTCTTCTCAATTGATTACACTCCCTTGGCCCCTTCGTCTCTAAAACAAATTTTAAAAGGTATTAAAAATCAAAATAAATGGTTAGAATCGTTTTTTGTAATTATTTATTTAAAACCTTTTTAGAATATACTTTAGCGTGGCATTGTGGCTCATGTCCACCCCTAATGGATGCTATGCTAAATTCTACCTTTTATTTATATATTGGAGTTCTCTTTTCCCACTTCCCCGGGTCTCCAACTTGCTCTTTAGTTTTTGATAGGGTGTAAATTGTAAAATCAGTCGACCTAATCTTCCAATATCTGAATTCAAATTGAATCTAGGTTTCCATTCCTCTCCGTCAGCCATGGCTCGTAACGAGGAGAAAGCGCAGTCGATGCTGAACCGGTTCATCTCCATGAAGGAGGAGGAAAAGAAGAAACCGAAAGAGCGCCGACCTTACCTGGCATCAGAGTGCAGAGACCTTGCAGAGGCCGACAAGTGGAGGCAGCAAATAATGCGGGAAATTGGCCGGAAGGTGGCAGAGATCCAGAATGAGGGTCTGGGGGAGCACCGACTTCGTGATCTGAACGATGAAATTAATAAGCTATTGCGTGAGAAAGTGCATTGGGAAAGACGGATTGTCGAGCTGGGTGGACCAAATCACACCAGGCATTCTGCTAAAATGACGGATCTGGATGGAAATATTGTTGATGTCCCGAATCCAGGTGGGCGTGGGCCTGGTTACAGATACTTTGGCGCGGCCAAGAAGTTGCCTGGAGTTCGAGAATTGTTTGAGAAGCCCCCTGAGTTGCGGAAGAGAAGGACGAGGTATAGTGCCTTATTGTTGTGTAATTCACTTGCAAGGGAGTAAATGATGTGTCATGACATACTTTTACTTTATCCCACCTGCTTGTGTTTAGTTGCCCTTATTAAGTGCTACTACCTTGTTTCTTTGGTGCTCTTCATTTTTTTTGTTTCGCATTGTCACTGGTTTCGATCTGACTTCAAAATTGTGCTGGTTAACGAATAAAGAAACTATCTCCTCAAGCGCAAAGATACGTATGTGAGTCTGTCTAGTGGATTTTCATGTCTTGTGTTCAAAATGTGTTCATCAAAAGCTAGTTTGTTCTTCATACCTGTCTGCAGAATGATTTAGTTAACATGACAAATTGGTATTGAATAATGACTTTGATGCATTGTTCTTAGGCTCACCTCCGACCTAATAAAATAACTAGTTTTGGTTATGATTATTCAAAATTGCTTTCAGTGCGATCAATAGTTCTCTTGTGTTGATATCTTTGTGGAAATGTTACGATTTGTTGCTTACTTGGCTTGTGTCGAAATCACGTAGGTATGATATATACAAGAGGATTGACGCAAGTTACTACGGGTATAGAGACGATGAAGATGGTATACTGGAGAAGTTGGAGGGGCCGGCAGAGGAGAAGATGAGGGCAGCTGCACTGAAGGAGTGGATGGATATGGAGGAGATAAAGAAAGAAGCAAGGAAGGCGGTGAAGAGCGGGGAGGTGGTAGAGGTTGGGTTGGGAGCGAAAATATTGTTCGAGGAAGAAGAGGACGTGGTGGAAGAGGAGAGGAGGGAAAGAGAGAGGGAAAAGGAAAAGGAGTTTGTGGTGCACGTCCCCTTGCCGGATGACAAGGAGATTGAGAGAATGGTATTGCAGAAGAAGAAGATGGACCTCTTGAGCAAATATGCCAGTGAAGATTTGGTTGCAGAGCAGACTGAAGCAAAGGCCATGCTCAATATTCACAGATGAATCCATATCATGCAGGTTAGCAATGTGTCAAAACTGTTTGCTCCTTTTATTGAAGTAAAGACTAAAGTTTCATGATATTGTTTGTTTTTTCAATCTTGTAAATCAATCAAGGATTAATGGAGTTGTGCCCATATAGTCTAATGTTCTGTTTTATGTTGTACTCTGAAAGGCTTTAAGATTTCTGGCTTTCTTTCTTGAATTCTCATACTAGGATTAGTGAGTGTGATTTGAGCCGTAGGTCTCTTAGAAACAGTCTCTCTACTGTCGAGGTCGCGTAAGGTACCCTTCCCTAATCATACTTTTGTGGGATTTTTATTGGATTCCTTGTTGTAGTAGATTTGCTATGAAATGATTGGATGAAGGTGTTATATATAACATTACACTTCATAAATGGCATATAATCATTTTCGTTTCCTCTTCACATCGCTCCGAAACAAGCGTGTTGCAGAAATGCAGAACCGAAACTATGAAGCCCTTGGGATTGAGAGGGAAAGTGAACCGAATCTACCAATGCCAAATAATACCTTGGTGCTTTGAGGCTTAAAAACATTTTTTTTCTTAAAAAAATTAATAAAATTTATGAAAATTTGAAAATTGAATTGTTATGCATCTTTACTCCACAAGTGTATTGTTTACTACTCCCTCCGTCTCTAAATATTTGCCACACTTGTATTCTCGAGGCAAAATATTAAGTTTTTTCAATTCATTTTATTTACAAATTGGTATAAAAATAAAAAATAAAATTTACATATCAAAAAACTACATGAAAAGTTCTTCAAAATAAGAGGTGTCAAGAATATTTTATTTTATCAAATAAACAATGAAAATGTAGAAATGAACAAAAGTTTCTGCAAGGCTGAAAAAGCAAACGTTGCAAATATTTAGTGACAGAGGGAGTAGAAACTTTTGACAAAACATCATTTTCAATTGATTTTTATTTTATACACAAAAAAGCACATACAACAAGGATAAGAACCACAACAATAAAAACAACCCAATTAGATTCCACGAAAGAAGGGTGTGAGAGAATGTGTATACATAGATTTTAGATATCAATGTCATGAGATGATCCAGAACACATACAGTGCTCCATTCGAAAAAATTTGATTTTTATCCAACTAATCCTTCCTAAACCTCTTTGCTGCCCCTGCCTTTCCTCTGCCTATTGGCTACATTAGTATTGTCAATGAGTGAAGAGAGGGGAGGGGTAGTAGGAGGGGTCGAAAGAACTTAGGTTGATAAAAATTATTAAATTTTTTAACAAAGCATTATAAGTATATCAAGTCATCCTATGACATTAACATCTAATATTAAGGAACCATTCACAAATTTGGTTATGTGCCAAATTGACCAGCCCAGTCTTTTTTATGTGGGGAGAACAAACTTAGGAAAGTGAGGCGGTCCTTGAGCTTGGAACAGGCAATTGGAGGTTCATCTATAATAAGACGACTTTACTTCTCCGTGTATATGTCAATTTTCCATTATTTTCACATAGTCAATACTCAAGACCAAATCTTTGCACCTAATTTCTTGATTTTCTTCATCTTTTATCTTTCTTCCTTCTTCTTTCTTTCGGGGGTTAAAAATCTCTGCATCTAATCTCTACTGCAAAACCACACGACCCCCACCCAGAGAAATCAATTAAGGAAACCCCCGAAATGGAGGATTACAGATCAAGGTCATACGCCGATGGCAGGAACATGCAAAACCAGATGGAGGACTACCGCGGTTTCAGGTCAAATTCTCTACCTTATGGTGCGTCGGCGGAACCTCCCCTCCCGCCGCCGCCGCCCAAGCTGAAGAAAGGGAAGAGCAGCAATGGGTCAATCTCAAAATCTTGGAGCTTGAATGACCCTGAGTTCCAGAGGAAGAGGAGAGTTGCTAGCTATAAAGTCTACTCTGTGGAGGGAAATGTCAAAGGGTCTTTCAGGAAAAGCTTCAGGTGGCTCAAAGATAGGTATTACAACGTGATCCATGGCTGGTGGTGATAAGATCTGACATTTATTGCAGTAAAGCTTTCTCCTTTCTATGAACTTTATATGCTTTCTTGATGTTATTTTCCTTGTAATTGAAATGGATATATTTATAAATTTGCTTTTTATATGTTTTCCTTCTATTTCCATTTCCCTGTTCTCTGAGGTCAAATGTGTATTGTGCCATCTGATCAGATCCATCCTTAGCCATAGACCAGGATGCTGAACTGCTATATATTTTGACTGTTTTTGGCAAATCTTTGTGAATTGTAATTATAGAATAGTATGAATTATCTAAAACAAATGTTCAAGAGTGCATATTCATATTTATAAAGTTTTCTTACTTATTTTTAAGTTTCTCTATATCTTACATAGTAGAGTTTGAATATAACTCAAAATAAGCTATACCAAACATAGCATCTGCTGAAAAATGCATATTTGAGGATGGTTATGAAGTGAAATCCTTTTCTCTTAGTGATTTGGTTATTGTTTGTCGCCGAAATAATGCTTAAAGGGTTTGTGACAGAAGTCTATTATACACAACTTTATATAGCTCTTCTGGCTTTCATTTTCTTCCAAATATGAACTGCTTTACGAAATGCTCCAAGTTTATGGCTTCCCTGAGGACTTTCTCATTCATTGCTTATTGCTGCAAATTAAACTGCTTTATCTTTTGGTCCTATTTTTCTTGGAATGCAATCTTTTGTTCATGCCATTGATACTTTCTGTGCTCATTCTTGATTAGCCACCTTTGTGTGGCCTGTTTCTATTCTGTTTTCTCAAAACCAGAATTGCTCAATAAATGTTACTCCCTCAGCCCCAATTCCCTACCAATTTGTTATGCCTGTTTTTCTTTTTTTGGTTCAATTAGATATGTTTTTTCACTTATAGAAGCATTTCATAAATGAAATACTCAATTGTGATGCAATAGAGTTTTGTCATGGTNGGGTACAATGAAGTTTCTTCTTTATCTATCTCAGCAAAGAAGTCATCACAAACACTATTATAAGGCTAAAAAGTTATTGCATTTCTGTGGTGTCATGAAAGTGAGTATGTCATTCTATGAAAATGTCATTAAATATAGAGGGAGTTTCTCTACGTTGGTGCTTACTGGTATATTGCGGATAAACTATTTTTAACTTATAGGCTACTTATAAGTTAAATATTCTTTCGTGAAAGTAAAATGATTTAAATGATATATAACTCATTTTCAGACACTATTGTAGTGGGATTCAATTGAGTTGTCGTTGTTGTTGTTGTTGTTGTATAACTCATTTGATGATATTCATAAATGGCGAGGGATGATCTTATAAATAATGTGGTCAAATGGAGAAATAAAAAAAATTGGCTAAAAAATGAGTAGGTATGAGACTATGACATTTTTAACTTATAAAGAATTTATAAGTGAGCTTATAAACACAGAGAAATACGTCATTAGCTGGCTTATATATTTAAACAATTTATCAACAATTTTAACTACATTATAAACACAGAGAAACACCCACATAAGGAAGTCCCTAACTCATAATCTGTATAAGGGAAAACAAAAGAAAAATACTTAATTTAATGTTTATTTTGACAATGTGAAGGAAATAAATTACTCCGTAAACAAAGGTTTGTATTTTAGGCAATCATCTATGTTAAAGGGAACCTCACATTTGACATTATCATTGTCACCACCTTCGTCCTAAATTGTTTACAATATTTCGAACAACATGTTGAATATCATTTCTTTTAAAATTATTTCATATTTTACTTACAAATTGGTAGAGAAATAAAAATATAAATTACATCGTTCAAAAGTACATCAAAATTTGGATTTATGGACTATGGTGTATTTCTTAATTTGAGGTTTAACGTTTATACAAGACTAATGTTTAACATGGCTCAAGTTATTAAGAGGTGGTTTTATCAATTCCTTATATATTCCTCTTGTTCCAAACTATATTTGTACCACTTTAACTTTACAAATTATTTGAAAAAAATTGATAAAAATGTTGTACCCCGGAGTATGTTTACAAGAGCGATAATAATTATGGCGAGTCATTCATTCTTTTGCTTAATGAGAAGGGAGAACTCCCTTGTTAAGACAAAACAAACTATGAAAATATTCAAATAAAAGTCCTAAGCCTATTTAAGATCAAAATAAGAGTTTACACTGTCACACTTACCATATTGTCGCATTGCAATTGCCACACTATCACTTTCACACTGTCATTCGTCACCCCCAAATACCATAGTGCCACTGTGGATCGGCGACGATCGACTGATCACACTGCCATATTATACTGTCATCACTTTTCCATCACACTGTCAATGCGTATTCTTACATCACACTACCATTATCCACTTGTTTAATTTTGGTCTTGAAATATTTACGACTCCAATTTTAGTATTTTATTCTTTTTTATTGCTATCTTGGGAAAATAATTTAAGTACTCCCTCCGTCCCATGAAACATGAGACTTTTGCTTTTTAGGAGGGATTTAAGGGAGTGTATTTTGGTATTGAATTTCCAAAAATGTCCTTTGATGTGATGGGTAAAAGTATGATTTGATGGATAGATTATTACGGAGTAGTAAAAAGGTATGATGTGATAGTTAGGGTATGAAAAAGTAAGGGGTAAAAGTGACTTTTTAATAGAAATGAGAAGTGTTTTGTGGGACGGATAAAAAAAGAAAGGAGAAAGGTTTCAATGGACGGAGAGAGTATTAAGTACCCTTAAAAAATTGTTGTTTATATTTTTGACAATCCTAAAAGAATTTAAAGATGTTACGAATTACAACTATTATTTTGAGATGCAAGGATACATTTTTTATTACGAAAAATATTTATTTTCAAATAATAATTTTTTCACTATTGATCGAGTAACTTTATCAATGTTTTCAATATTTCTCCATGACGCATAGTACATATCTTTTTCACATGGTAAAACGGTCCATGAAAAGTTTAGAGTATATCAAAACTAAATTTAAAAAAGTGAAAGAATGTCTTGAATTTTAAAACGAAGTGCATATAGAAAACTAGAAATTGCGGAGTAATTTTGTAGTCAAAAGATAGAATATGAAAATCCAATCAACCTAAAGCTAGCCTTAGAAGTTTGAATATAAAAGAATTTTATTTTCTATTTGACTTTATTTAATCGGCCTATTTTCTTAGGGTTTTGTCGGCCTATTTGATTTCGTTTTGTTTCTTCACATTTAATCATTTACCTTATTCGTCCCGATTTAATCTTATCATTTACTCTCTCCGTCCCAAAAAGTTTTTCCTGTTTCATTTTTTGCGCATCTCATAAAACACTTCTATCGACATCTAAAATGCCTAAAATTTACAACATTTCTTCTTTATTGTAGGTAGAAGTTATTTTGAAAGTTTTTTTGGCATTCAAGGCGGGATAGAAGCGTTTTATGGGATGCGCAAAAGATGAAACATGAAAAACTTTTTGGGACGGAGGGAGTAATAATTAACATTGACATTTATGCGTAACTATATTTTTTAAAATTTTAATATTTTAAGGTTACATTTCAAAAGGAAAATTTTGATATGCATTTATATTGAAACACAATTTTTCCCCACATTTCAAAATCAAAGTTTACAATCTTTGATCAAGAAAATTAAATTAAAAGATTAAATTCAGATAGAGGGAATATTATGTTTCTTTCATTTTTATAGATAAAAGTGCACTAACCTCAATTGAACTTTTCTTGGTAAAATATGTTTAATAGTAATGTAAATAGAGTGTAATCTAACGAGATTAATTTTGAAATACAATATCTTTCCGATATTTATTCACGTACATGTATAGTTATTGATTGTATTGTCAAAGTGTTACTTAAACAATCATAAAACATTCGACAACAAAATTAATTGAGAAGGGTGGATATAATTAAAAAATAATAAGTTTCATGTAGTAATTATATAGCCAATACAGGTAGTTCATCTAAAACTTTGAATGCAAAAATTATATTTTTTTTCTATCCTAGAAAAAACTTCGATCATATAGTATCTTTCTCGTTCGTCCCAAGATAAATTTCACTTTTCATTTACTAAAAAAAAACTTATGGCTCATTTGATGTATGTTAGCACATCCTCCGTGAGTATAAATTAGGGTTTGGTTAATGAAATGAATTTTAAAACACTCTTATTTCTTTCCCAATCTCTACTTCAATTCCCTCCCTAAACTGCCCAAAGCAATGTCACGTAGTTTTTCCTCATTTGGTGCAAAAACATGAAAGGAAAAAGAGAGGTTGAGCATTATTAGGCAATCACGTGTGCCTTCCCTTTTCCTCTTTTACTCTTCTGTCAATTGTACGTTACGTTAGCTCCAGCTTTCTGTTCTTCATTCACTTTCTTTTCCAAAAAAATATTTCCCCTTCCGATCCCCTTTCCCCTTCACATTGAACGGTTAGATTCATGCTTAAAGATGCCCGACGACAAAAATGAAAAGAAGATCGTCTGTTCCAGCTTTCCTCGTTCCCGCATAGGGCGGTGTTCCCCTTCCATTCCCGTGCCACGTGGCCTTTCCCGTTCTCCGGGTGTGCACCGGAGTAAAGTCAAGGAGATCTATTTTTAATATGTGTAAGATTTCATTCTAAATACATTTCCCATTCTCATTTCTTTATGAATAATGCTAGAGTCACAAACAAACATTTCACAACATTTACAAACTTATCTTTTTAATATTTCACTAGAAATAAGATGCACTCAAAGAAGAAGAAAAATATTTAATTTAAAATCTTTAAAAGACAAATTTGTGAACTATTTGTTTGTGACTCTAGCATTGTCGTTTGTCAAGGAACCATCTCAACCAAAAGCTCAAGCTTGTTGTTGTGGCCCAGGAATGATTGTTATATACTCTAACACGCCCCCTCACGTGCAGGCGTGACATCTTTTTCGAGTCTTGCACGTGAAACTTTAATTTTTTAAAAACTGGGTGGCGCTGAGTTTCGAACTCGTGACCTCTTAGTCAACGAAGCTCTGATACCATGTCAAATGCTTAACCATGATAATGGTTACATGCACGTGAGACAATTTCAAACTTAGACTACAGGAAATGATTACATCAAATAAAAAATACAACTCAAAACCAACCATACAAACACTAACAAGAGTTCAATCTTAGATCCAAAAAAGGAAAAATAATACAACAAATTGGTTCTCCTGTTGGGCAATGACAATAAACTTTCCCAGTTGGTTCTCCTTTGCCTCTTTGCTGCTTTTCCTTGATGGGAGTTCTATAGATAGATGCTATTTGAAATGTGTACCTTGGTTAAACAACTCTGCCTCTGTAGCTGCAAGGTTTATTGCATGGGTTTTGAACCCTATAGGCGATTCTTGCCAGGACCTATTAGTTGAGTGTTTGACTGGACTTTTACATGTAAAGACCCTCAAACTCTGTGGTTTTTATTGAGATGGTTCCTTGACATGGTATCGGAGCCTTGATGACCAAGAGGTCACGAGTTTGAAACTTACCGTCATCCAGTTTAAAAAAATTAAGGTTTCACGTGCAAGGCTCAAAGAGCCTGCACGTGAGGGGGCGTGTTAGAGTATATAACAATCATTCCTGGGCCACAACCACAAGCTTGAGCTTTTGGTTGAGTTGGTTCCTTGATATCGTTCTTTTATCCAGACACACTCCACATTGTAATTTTCATTTCTCTAGCACTTTTTTATGTTTTCTTTTATTCCATCTTAAGTTTGAGATATTTTATGCTGTATTAAAAAAGAAGAAGAAAAAAGAATGAGTAATAATTATAATTATAATCCTGAAAGCCAAATCTATTTTGGTCACAAATTCCAAAAACAGTTTCACCCGAGTCTCAATTCCCAGCTTCTTCTGCCCTTCCTATGAGCTTTCAAGGAAGCTCACTCCCGCAGCCTTCACTGTACCCTTATATACTCCACCTTCCTTTAAAAAAATACTCATTTAATTTGCACAAAGTTAAATAAAAATACTAAAAATTGAAAAAAAAGAAGAAGAATGGATTAAAATTTATGTGAAATTTGTACTAAATAGTATTAAAACATATGTCATTTTCTAATGTAGTACTTAAACTCTTTTGTAACCTAAGTAGTAGCTAATTGAATAATGTCTAGTGGTGGGAATAATACCCAGTAATGTTGGACATTTAGTTTGAACAATGTCCAATGATGCTGGACATTTACTTGAATAATGACCAGCGAGAATATGTTGGAAAATAAAAACATATGATACTACAATGAAAAAATTACTATATTTTAATACCAATGAGGTAAATTTCTCAAAATTTATTTGAATAAGAGAGAAATTAATAAGCTCATAGAAAAACAATATACCGAGTAACTCAAAAATATTTTTTGAAATGTGTAAGATAAGAAAGTGGGTAAAATAATTTGGGACTTTGAGAATATTTGCCCCAAAATTGTCAAGAAGATTGTCTCTCATTTTCCACAAAGATTTTTTTTTTCTAATATACATTTTTCTTTTTCTCTATGCGCCCATTGACTTTGACTGTTCAAAGGTGGCAAAGCCTTACAGTCCGAACTCCATCCGTATATAAATACCCAAGTGGCCATTTAAGGCTAGTCAATTCATTGCTTGGTGAGCATAGCCTCACAGTTGAATTCTTGAAGAAAAAAAAAACTCTTCTTTGCAAGGCCTTATTTTCAAGGTGAGTGTTCTTGACTGCATGATTCCCCTTTTTTCTCTTCTGCATGGGGCTTTTAAAGCTCATCTCTGCTATGGGTTCCCAAGATTTTGCGTTCTTGATTATACCCTGTTTTTGATCCCTCAGATTTTTGGGTAAAATTATTTATTTTCAACCTGTTTGTTAATTCCTATTGTTTGTCCATTGATTGTGTTTGATTAAATGTCCAAGAGAGGTTTCTGTGTTAATATCTTCAAAAAACAGCTTTGAACATTTTTTTCCCCCTTCTTGTTTTGCAGATTGGATTTTGTGTTTATTTTCCAAGAGAATCCATGTTGAAAACATATAGCTTCAAGGAGGAACATCTGAGAGATATTAACAAGCAGGGTGGATTTCTCAGGCATGGGAGGGCGCGACTGAAATCCCATGTTCCACTGAACAACTTGGTTGTTCAGAAAGATGAGAATGATGAAGATATTGTGAAAGGGAAGTATGATGGGTTCTATTCCTTAAAGCCAAACAAGCCTCCAGTTTCTTGTCCTGCGCCATTAGTGTACTCCTCTCCCAGGCATGTTCTTGATGCTGCTGCAACTAAGGTCCAGAAAGTGTACAAGAGTTACAGGACCAGGAGGAACCTGGCAGATTGTGCTGTAGTTGTTGAAGAGCTCTGGTTTGTCCTCTTTTCCTTCTTTCCTGCCTCTTTTCATCATACTTTTTTTTTGCATGAATATGTGGTTTTATCCAATCTTGGAGTAAAACATTTCTAACCCTTTTGTTTAACTTGTTGGGATTTTTTCAGGTGGAAAGCTTTGGATTTTGCAGCTCTAAACCTTAGCTCTGTTTCATTTTTCAAGAATGATGACAAGCATGAAACTGCTGCATCAAGGTGGGCTCGCGCCAGGACGAGGGCTGCAAAGGCACGTTCCTTCTATCCCGTTTTCGCAAAAAAAAAAAAGATGTTTCTAAGAACAAGACCAACATTACAAATGACACTTTCTTTTTGTGGCAAGGAATTAGCTATATGATTGACTCTGATTTTAAAAACCACAGGTGGGAAAGGGTCTGTCACAGGATGAGAAAGCTCAAAAGCTAGCTCTACAGCACTGGCTTGAAGCTGTAAGTCCATATTCTAACTTCATTTCCAACACTACTAAAATCACTTTGTTGGAGTAGTTCTTCTTAATCATTGAGCTCATTGGGTTATTATCTTGCAGATAGACCCGCGTCATCGTTATGGGCACAACTTGCACTTCTATTATGATGTATGGACTGATAGCAAAAGCACTCAACCCTTCTTCTATTGGTATGTGTGTAACAATCACATCGGAATGTTTAAGAGACGATGATAGATAGAACTAGTTAATCAATTAGATTCTTAACCAGCTCTAACGCAAGTATCTTATGGCCCAGTACAATGACCCCAACCCTGTCTAGCGTTTGATGATCATAGTCTTATGTTATCTTTGCCAATTTCGAAGGTTGGATGTGGGTGATGGGAAAGAACTAAACCTCAAGAAGTGCCCAAGACTCGATCTGCAACGCCAATGCATCAAATACTTGGGACCGGTAAGTCTCACCATTCATTTCTTCTTAAGAGTATAAAATCATTTCAGTGCCTACAATCACCACCAGCACGCTTAATTGACCATTTTCTCCTTTACTCATTCGGGCACGTTTTGTGTGTTTCAGAAAGAGAGGGAAGCGTACAGAGTGATCGTCGAGGGCGGGAAGTTAGTTTACAAGGAGAGTGGCTCTCTTCTGACCACAGAAGAAGGGTCAAAATGGATATTTGTGCTCAGCACTGCAAGGGCTCTTTATGTGGGGAAGAAGAAGAAGGGAGTTTTTCAGCACTCCAGCTTTCTCTCTGGTGCTGCCACTTCTGCTGCTGGTAGACTTGTTGCTCATGCTGGGATTCTTCAGGTATTTATATATATATTGTTTCCCACTTCTCTGGATTTGTTTTCTCTCATGTTATAAATGCTGTTTAAAAAAAGAAAATGTTACTCCCTCCGTCCCCCATAGATCTTCTCATTAGCCCTTTTTATTTGTCCACCATAGATCTTCTCATTAGCCCTTTTTATTTGTCCACCATAGATCTTCTCATTACCTTTTTTAACACTTAAAATACCACAACTACCCCCACTTACTTTATTTATTACATCTCACCTACCTCATTTACTACACTCCACCCATTTTCATTAAGGGTATTATGGTAAACTTTCACCTTTTATCAACTCTCCTAAAAACCGCAAAAAGTTAAAACGAGAAGATCTTAGGGGGACGGAGGGAGTATTAAAAAGATAAGGACAGTTAACGAAACGACTCAACTAAAAACTCAAAAAAGCTCCATAATGGTTTTGGAAATGAGTTAGGGATTACCCTCAACCCCACAATTAGCTGTCATAATTTAATAATTTATCTTAAGATATTAAAATATACAGAGTCTAACATTGCCATCCTTTGTGTTTAGGCAATTTGGCCATACAGCGGGCATTATTTGCCGACAGAAGACAACTTCAAGGAATTCATCGCATTTCTTGAGGAGCACAAAGTTGATTTGACCAATGTCAAGGTAATCTTGGAAATAAATATACTCCATTACTCCCTCTTGTCCCAAAAAAAAAGAAACCCTTTACAGTTTGACTTTTACAGAGTTTAAAAATAATGTCGAAAAGTGAAATACGAAATAGTATAAATAAAGACTTTTGGATTATGCAGAGGTGCTCTATAGATGATGATGATAGGCTATCATCTGTCATCGACGCCGCCTTAACGGCGTCGACCGTAGACACGGACGCAACAGTGATTTCCAATCCATCCCGAGAAGATGAAGAGGCAGTCAACAAGAATCAAAAGCCCGTTGACCGCCAAAAGCCGCCGCCCGTGTTTGACTTGGCCAAACGGTTGTCGTGCAAGTGGGCGAGTGGCGTGGGCCCCCGTATTGGGTGTGTCAGGGATTACCCGGCAGATCTCCAGTACCAGGCACTTGAGAAGGTGAACCTGTCGCCGAGGGTCAACAATGGGGCCCAGTCGTCCGTTGTGGACAACTGGCCCATTCCTTCCCCTCGGCCCAGTCCCAAGTTCCTGGTTTCGCCCCGGCTCGCGTACATGGGCCTTCCAAGCCCGAGAGTTTCGGCCCAAACTCGGATGTCGTAAGGATAGTAGCAAATTTTGAAGGAGGTGCTGCTGCTGATGGTGTTCATTGTAGGATTTCAGTCATGTTGTTTTGTTCTTTGATTCATTTTGTGCTTAACTTTTTACAAAAAAAATAAGGCCATTTTTTTGTCCCTTTTGTATTTTCAAAATTTAAAAAAAATGGAATCTCTGTATTGCATTGAGATTTTGTTTGTAATCAATATTGGCAAGCAGCTCCAATAATATAAATTGGGTTATAGTAATTGGTCTTTGACGGAATTACTTTTCATTATTTTGTATCACTTCTTCACATTAAATAAATTTGGATGGCTTTCCTCAAAAATAAATAAATAAATAAATAGGATGGTACTCCAAAGTTCTTCAATCGGATAAGGCAAAAGCTTCAAAAACTAGTACTCTATACTCCCTCCGTCCCTTATTATTTTTTGTATATTGACTTCAAAGCAAATTAAGGAGTCCTAAATAACGTAAAGTAAGATAAAATAATTAAATAAAGTACACATTTCAATACTCCCTCCATTCCTAAATATTCACAACATTTGTTTTTTCAGAAGTTGCGGAAAATTTTGTTTATTTCGACGTTTTCATTAGTTATTTGATAAAATAAAATATTCTTGACACCTCTTATTTTGAAGAACTTTTCATGTAGTTTTTTTATATGTAAATTTTATTTTTTTATTTTTATACTAATATGTAAATAAAATGAATTGAAAAAACTTTATATTTTGTCTCGGGAATATAAATGTGGCAAATAATTTGCGACGGAGGGAGTAATAAACAAAGAACACATTCCCTCTCAGTCTCTCACACACGAGGGTAATGAGTGCATGTCCGACGACATGATGATAACCGCACATTAAAATCTAAAGGAGTCCTAAATTAGTTTTAAATTTTTTTGCTATTTTGGGGAAAATTTGAAATTCTCTCCAAAAAGAAATCTACACTAAAAATTCCTACCACACTTCTATTTAAATGAATGCATTCATTTAACCCTTCTTTGCTACAAAATCTTTGGACCATCGTACCCAAGTAACCGAAGTTTCTTTTGCCATCATTTTCACCACTGAAACAAAAAGACAAGCTCACATTAAAGGTGTTTCACTAAATCAAAAAAAAGGAAAAGAGTGGCAGATATATTACTACAACACTCTAACAATGGCAAGATTCAGCGGGGTACCATTAAGAAACTAGCTACTGAATTGAGGATTTCAAGTAAAACAGTAAGCAACATTTGGAGAGTAGTTCAGGCTCAAATCCAGGGTGGTCTACCCATTGATGTTGAATGCAAGTGAAAAAGAATGTGTGGGAGGAAAAAGATCCATGTTCACATGGAAAAAATGGTAGCTCTGCCTTTTAATAGGCGCAAGAACATGTGTGTACTTAGCTATGCTGGGGTCTCAAAATCTACTATCCATAGATGGTGCTTAAGTGGAAGGAGATTAGGAGATATTCAAATGTCATTAAGCCACTACTATGTGAATAAGGTAAGCTTAAAAGAATGAAATTCTGTGTGGAACATATTTCTCCCCAATCACTCTTCATGTACTCAACATTAAAATAATAATGAATAATTTATATCCAAATAAATATTACAGTATCATCTATAAACTGAAGAAATGTGTACTAATTATAATAAAATATAAAAAGTGTGAAATAGTATATGAACAGTGTTATTGAAAATAACATGGGGAAGAAAAAGAACACAATACAAGTTTAAATATTTTTTTATTAAACATTAAAAATGACATTTATATCCTTCCTCAATATGCATGTCCGGTCCAATTAGGAAGATTAAAGTTAGATGGATGGAGTATATACTTCGTATTAGTTAGAAATAATAGGCATATTTATGTTATGTGATAACATTGTATTATCTTTAAAAGTAGTTCACAAGACATGACATTATTTAGTTTTCTATTATATAAACATAGATATGAATATTATATACCAAGTTATGGGTTGTTGACCCAAGTCAACCCAGTTCGACCGGTTGACTCTTAACCCCGTGGCTAGTCCAATTTGATATCCGGTCCAATTTTCAAAAATATTGGTTACAAGTGATGTCAAAGTTGGTGTTCACCTCACGAATGGGTTAAACCTAAACTAGACACGTTACACAAAATGTGGTGGTGGCCATTGGTTACTCCAACCCAAAATGTTTGACACGTTACACAAAATGAAATACTCCCTCTGTCCACCATAGATCTTCCCGGACACTATTCACAGGGTCAAACTTTACTTACTTTATTTGCTCAATTTTACTAGTCATTTCATAAAATAGTATAGTCTTGTCACATCTAGTTTTGTAGAACTTTTCATGTAGTTTATTACTATATAAATTTTATTTTAAAATTTTACTCCTATAATCAATTAAATTAAATTGAAAAGTCAGTCAAACCTCGTAACGCGTAATGGGAAGATCATACATGGACAGAGGGAGTAAAATTTTAAATTTTTTTTGAATTTATTTTATTTGAAGATTGGTATAGAAATTAGAAACATAATTTAAATATTTAAAACTACGACTAAAGTTTTTTCAAAATATAAGTGACAAGAATATTTTATTTTATCAAATAATCAATGAAAGTGTACATATAAAGAAAAGCTTTATAAGTTTTAATTAGTAATCTGTAATACTCCATACGTTCCAAAAAGAACATTATAATCACTATTTCAACCTCTGGATAATTTTTGTTTCACCATTTGATAAACTAAAATATTCTTGCTGCATCTTGTTTTGTAAAACTTTTGATCGAAGTAATTTTTACATTTTATTTTCTCTACCAATTTCTAGATAAAATAATTTTAAAAGAAATGATATTAAACATGTCTTTCGAAATGTTCCAAACAATTTGAAATGGAGGGAGTATTTTGTTAGGAGGAGTAAGCAACATCTTATCAATTTGGATAATGGTATTTGTACCCCCAAGAATTTGTACCACATTTTATGCATCGCATGGATGCACCAACATTTTGTGTTGGTGTAATGCTAATTTTTGTTAATGCACCAATACTTTATGTCAGTGTAAATTTTTGTTAACACACTAACACTTTATGTCAGTGTGAACCATCATAATATCAGTACATACCTTTACTATACAAATGAGGTACAAATTTTGAGGTAGCATACCCCTATCAATTTTGTTGGGAGGGAGTAGTCACCAAAGCGAATGCATGTGTAAACAGTACACCCAAAAACGACAAACTGTGTTTGTTTTGCTCCGTTTGAAATTCAAAAAAATGTCACAAAACACAACTGTCAAACTGCACACACATTGGGCGTTGCTGTTTTCCCCAACAGAACCAGTGGGCACCACCAACACCCCACCCCACCCACCCATCACTTTCTACACAGAAAAAAAAACCTCCTCCTCCTTTTGGCTATGGCTTTTACTAAATTTTCAAATCTTTTTCTTTCCCTTTTCTTGGATTCGATTTGACTCTCCTTCTAGCTGTGTTTGCATTCAATCCCCAGTTCAATTTCCAGTGCACTCTCTCTTAGATTAGATTCATTTATGGCCCATTCTCACTTCCTCTAGTTCTTCTTCTTCTTCCTTAAATCTCTCTGCAATCTTCTGATTCTTGAGGTTTACTGTGAATGGGTGCTTCTGGGAAATGGGTGAAAGCTCTGATAGGATTCAAGAAGCCTGAAAAAGATGACCAAAATGTGAAACCCCTCTCTTTCTCTGGGTGTTTTTTTTTTAAATTTTATGACAAATAAAAGTCTTAAACATTTCATTTTCTTGATTTTAGTAGTAAGGGACTGATAAAAATCACATCTTTTTTATTTTTACAGGAGAAAATGAGATGCGGGAAGAGCAAGAAATGGAGGCTATGGAGGGGCGCAGCAGGGGATCTTGGTTCTTCGTGGAAGGGATTGAAAGGGTCGGAATCATGTTCTTCTTCCCCAGTAGTGAACCGTGGTGATGCTTTCACGGCGGCCATGGCCGCCGTGGTCAGAGCTGCTCCCAAAGATTTCATGGCTGTGAGGCAAGAATGGGCCGCCATTAGGATTCAAACTGCTTTTCGTGGTTTCTTGGTAAAACAAATTTCTTGGCTTTCATGGTTTGTTTGGGAATAATTCTTTGAGAATTAGGGTTAATGTTTTGAATAATTGTTAGGAGTAATTACTAATGATACAGAATAACTTTGAAAAAAAATTAAATGTTATTGTTATAGTCTTTTACTTCTTTTTTTCCCAAAAGAAATTATTGTTATTGCCAATGATTTATCCTATCTTCTTTTGTAAAAACAATTCATGTGTATCTAATTTCTATGGAGTCTTGCAAGAAGACTTTTTCAAATTGCTGGTTTCCAAATGAACAAAAACTTGTGTAAATTGTACACAAATGGCTATAATAAATTGATGAATGGATGGCAAAAATGCAGGCAAGGAGAGCTTTGAGGGCTTTGAAAGGGTTGGTGAGGCTTCAAGCATTGGTCCGGGGCCGGCAGGTGAGGAAGCAAGCCGCGGTCACCCTCAGGTGCATGCAGGCTTTGGTTAGGGTCCAAGCCAGGGTCCGAGCTCGCCGGGTCCGTATGTCCTTAGAGGGGCAAGCGGTGCAGAAGGCCATAGACGAGCACCGTGGCACGGTTGATTGCCTCAAACAAGCCGAGGTAAATAATGCTGCATTTATACTAAAATTTGGACACATATATGTTTGTGCACCTCCATTGATGGTTAACTTGGAGCCAATATAACAAGAGATGTTCATAGTTTAGCAATGCAGCATTTGGTTAGTGAAATGTTTCTTTCAAATTTCTTCTAATAATAATGCTTTTTTTTGTGCAACATATTTGAAGTTGGTTTTGGACATTGTAGGAGGGATGGTGTAACAGTAAAGGAACACTAGAAGAGGTTAAAGCAAAGATACAAATGAGGCAAGAGGGAGCCTTCAAGAGAGATAGGGCACTTGTCTACTCCCTTGTGCACAAGGTACTTCTTTCACACTTGCCCTTATTGTAGACATGTCAAAAAAAGCACTCTTTTAAATATCTCATTCTTCATTGATGAAAGTGATCTAAGATGCATATAAAAAGTGGACAATTAATTTGGAACATCCCATAGAGTGAAAACAAACAAGTTGGAGTTGGTGATAAGTCACATGCTTGATGTATGCTACATTGTGTATACTATCCTAAATTTTTGGAACTTTTTTTTACTTTTTACTAGTTTTGTCACGTAAAAAACTTTCTTGTTTGATTTTTTTGAAGAGCAACAAGCCACTCATTTCATTTTTAAAGGAAGTATTTTTTTTTCTTTTTTGAGAGATGAAATAGAAAGAATGACTTTCTTTTGCAAACATCTCTCCTATTTAAATTTGCAAAAATTATTTGACACATCTTTGATATTCCATCCGTCCCAAATCCACTCTTGGTTTGACACTGAATTTAAGTAAAGTAAACTTATATAGATGAAACTGAGAATACACATTAGCCACAAGAAAATCAGAAAGTTATTTCCAAGACCTTCATTCCTCAGTTGTTTGATAGCATAAAAATATGTGGATTTGGAACTGACAGTGCCAAAAATGAATTAGAATAGGAAAATTCAATTCCATCCAAATTAATTCTATAGAATTTCATTTTCCAATTCAATTTCAATTCCGTCAATTTTGTGTACTAAATGGATCCTCAATTTTCTGAGAAAAACTTTTAGACCTCACATTATTTGAAATATACTTCGGATTATCTTTGATTTTCTAGTAAGAATTTTTGGTCTTACATTATCTGAAATATACTCTGCGAGTACTAAAATTTGTGATATTATATTTCGAGGGTACATTGTGTTCATTTTTGGTATTAAGATTGAAAATTCCATTATTTTGAGAAATAGAACGATTTTATTACAATTTAATAAAATAATGATTATCAATATAAAATTTATTACTCCAGCAAATCTACCCGAGAGGCCGAGACTAATTTTCTGCAAAAAAAAAACCAAAACCGTTGGTGTCATCTCGGTAAAAAAGGGTGGTAATTGTTGCAGGAGAGGTTGAACCAGAGCTCCGGATCTCAGAAGGCGGCAAACTCCTTCGGCGGATCTTTGAAGAATTACAATTTGGACCAGAACAGCTGGAGCTGGTTGGAGCGATGGATGGCGGCGAGGCCATGGGAGAACAGGTTGATGGAGCAAAAACCTCAATCCGATGCGGCGGCGGAAACAACCCCCAACTCCAAGACCTGCTTCTCGGATTCTTCCGCCGCCAAGGACAAGAATCATTCCGACGTCAGAATCAGGAAGAACAACGTCACCAAAAGGGTTTCCGCCAAGCCGCCGCCTCACCCGACCCGTTCGTCTTCGAGCCCTAGCTCCGATCTCCGCTACGACGAGAGGAGTTCAGCTTCGTCTTCGTTCTGCTGCACCTCCACGACTCAGATCTCCGGCAACTCGTCGGTGGAGAAGAAGAACGGCAACCACATGCCGAATTACATGAACTTGACCCAGTCGACGAAGGCCAAACAGAGAAATAGCAGATTCCTTAGACAGTCCATGGATGAAGTTCAGTTTCGTAACCTTCACAAGTCTGGAGATTTCAGCAATTTAGGGTTTTGATTTCTAATGGGATAGATTCTCAAATTAAGTGAAATTATGCAGCAATTGTGACCTCATATGAATACTCCTTATTTGAGACATTACTGGAGGTGTGATATAAGATTTTTCATCATCTTTATAAAATTTCTAAGTTATGTGCTTCAAGTTTTTATTTTTATTTAAAATTTATTATTCCTTCATAATAGTATGACCCGTCTGTGAGACATTCATTACATTAGTATTTAACAAAGAGGGTCATAGATCTTGATTATCTTATCTCAATGTTAGAATGCATGTTTTCACTAACGGCGGATGGCTTGAATCTTCACGCCGTTCTTGAAGTTGAGAACTATGCCGTACTCGATCTCCAATGGGCGACTATCCATGAGGGGGGATCGCCGGAATATGTAGTTTCTGTATAGGTGGATTAGGGAGAGTTTAATCTCCTGCAATGAGAACTTCTGCCCTATGCATCCCCGAGGCCCTATTCCGAAGGGAATGTGTGCATAAGGATGCCTCTGTTTCTCTTCTTTGCAGTTTGGATCAAACCTCTCCGGCCTGAACTTCTCAGGTTCTGGAAAGTTCTTAGGATCTTTACTCAGAACCCCAAGAGCTAGCCAAACCCATGTCCCCTGCTCATTCATTCACAAACCTATTATTATGATGCTATATAGAAGTAAAATTTGTGATAATATAGAACTGGTGTTGGTAGTGGTTAAATACCTTTGGGAGTTTGTAACCTCCAATCTCTACCGGTGCGGATGTTTCTCTAGCAACTAGTGGTGAAACAGTGTAAAATCGCATCGCCTCTTTTATTACCTGCAGCCTCAGAGGAGTAGACGTTTTTTCATGAATAAAAAGTCGTTGTTTTCATGAAGATGCAATTCGTATGAGTTTTACCTGATCAAGATAGGGAAACTTTGTCTGAAGATCATTGGAGCTGGGCACTTGATCAGTAGGAAACCTATCTACCTCTTCAACCAATTTCTTTTCAACCTGTGGGTGACCGGAAACCAGGTAGATAACAGAAGACAAAGTGAATGAAGTTGTTGCAGATCCAGCCAACAAGTGTTCATAAGTGACTGCACTGATGTAATCAGAGGTAAACACGTTCTTTGTTGCTTTCTCAGACTCAACCCCCTTTAGTATAAGGGACAACAAGTCTTTCGTCCCACGCTCCTTCTCTTCCATTCTCTGTGATACAATGTCGTCAATTCGTCTGCTAAGATTCTTGTTTGTTTTCTCCACTTTCCAGTCCATTGTTCCAGGGATCCTCTTGAGGATTTGGCGAACAGGTTCCTGAAGAAACGGAACGAGCAGGCCCAGTATGATGGAGAAGGAGCCAGACATGTCCATCTTGAGCTGTGTTGTGGAGTAGATGTGCTGGTTGAGGAACTCTTGGACTCCGTTGTCGAGGGATTCTTCTTTGTCCTCTTGGGGTTTCGACAGCCCAAAGTCGACTCCAAACGCAGCCTGTCCGATAACATCTGTGGCTAATTTGAGGGAGAGATCAGAGAAGGTGAAGTCCCCTTTAGAATCAAGATTGTGAGTTGAGGATTCAATATATGATTGCATGGTTGGGACCAGTTTGGCCAAGTGAGATGGCTGGTAGATTGACAATATTGTGTTTCTCATTGCTGACCATCTTGCGTCCCTGCAGGTTCCCATTTTCTTTTAAACTTCAGATTAATTTTTTTTACCAAATAAGCTTAGGCCGTGTTTGGCGATCAGTATTAAATAAGTGGGAATTAGAATCACAACTTTAATGATCAGTTTTCCTTGTGGATGAAAATGATTATTTCCCAAATATGAAATATGCAACTTTAATGCAAGCGAAAACATTAATGTTTTTCCCCTAAATGTCATCCAAGTGCTGAAAAATCACTATAGCACTATGAGAGTTGATGAACTGGGACAAATCCATGTTTATAAACTTAATAGGCCTAATATGTCTAGTCTGTTCTTTTTATTTTTATCACGGGTATTATTTAGGTCTAGACTCCCAAGACCAAGAGACCCACATGATACGGGTTTGGCTAATCTAACCCGAGCAAGGTCGGTGCTAGGTTAGGGGATGGAGAGGCACTCCCACAATCAATGTACAATGATCCACTCGTCTCTCCAAAGTCCAAAGAAATTAGACCGTGATTGCCTCTATACATGATCCTATAAGTACCCCACCCCTTCTCCATATACAAAGACTTTCATATATCCTCATCTCTCCCATATTTTATGATCCGGTTGATGGAAATCCATCTACGGGGAAAATGTGAATTAAATCTTCGGAACATTTGAACACCCAAACGAGACAAATATAGAAACATAAACCAAACAATAATCATTGTAGTGGATGACCTTGTGAAAAACAGGCCTTTCTGATGCAAAGGGGATGCGGAGATGGGGGAGGGGATGCTTCGATTCGTGAAGTATTTGAATTTCTTGATCCCAACTTCTCTGCAAAGCTCTGCATCTCCTATGATCACCAATGGCTGCCTCCCCATATGAAACCTTACACACAAATTTGATGCATGGTTAGATACCCAGAACTGACAGGGTCGGGTCATATCACAGTCACAACACAGATGACACTAAGGCTGACACCGTCACACACTAAGTTTTGTTTGTTGATTACCTGAAGATGGGGCCGTACTGCTTAGCAAGGACAGTGAAAACATCAGGGCCAAACTTGGCAAGCAAGGGCAGATGTCCTACAAGGGGGAGAGCTGGAGGACCAGGTACTGTTCTCACGAGCCAGTAAGGTCTATAGAAGTATACTAATGCTAAAGCTGCGCCTAGAACAGCCAAAATGGTGTATATGGCTGTTGAAATATTGAACAATTGTTGGGTTTCTACTAACAAATAGTCCATTTTCTTCACTCTTTTACTCTGTGGGAGCCAAATTCATTTGTTTTTGTGGGGTGATGAGAGGATATTCACATGGCCTGCCATGGGTTTTTATAGTGCGTTATAATTACTATACACTTCTCATTTTTCAATTTTTTTCTAAATAAAAATTGAGTGATGTGTTTTGGGGCAGAGAGGGACTGGGAGTTTGTACTTTGTTTGTACCTATTTATTTGTGTAGGTTGACTATTTGTTATCGTTTCCTTTTATATTTGTCTATTAAGGAAATTTTGGCACCCTAACTATTTTTGGACCATTTACAGTGGTTAATATATTTAATTTACTTTTTTTTCTCAGGTGAAAGATTAATGAGTGTCATTGAATAAAGACAATTTAGACAAAGTAATAAATTGATTAGTCATTAACCAAATAAATATTATTTTTTGTTAGTTAAAATTGATGAATCTTGATCACTAATTAAATAAAATTGATACAAAAATAATATTATTAGATTTGTTTTATATATTCCCTCCGTCTCAGAAAGAGTTGGAGATTTGACTAAAGTGGCAAAATAAGGGAGGAATAATTTTGTAATGACTTTTCAAAAATAGCCTTGATATGATGGATAAAAGTAGAATGTAATGTGTAGATTTTTAGAAAAAAATATTACTGTATGTGATACGTAGAGTATGAAAAAATAACGTGTAGAAGTAATTTTTAATAAAAATGAGAATGAGATTGTGGGACACTATTTTTTTAAAACATGAATGACTTTTAGGAACGGAGTAAGTAGTATTTTCAAAATGTTCTTTTATCTAATCAATACACTTTATATATTTTAGTTAATTATAGATAAAAATTTGAAAAAGCTAGACTAAAGAAAAAGTTAAAACTGAACAATTATTCGAGGGAGTAGCTGTTAATGGAATGAAAATTATCCACACTCTCATGTCACAACTAACTACAAGTGATTTCGATAAAAAGGTGTTGGTATATTTCATCGGTCCAAAATGTGGAATCGCCCCCCCAAGCGCCCCCACCTCCTAGCCCGACAGGAATGGATAAATCATGGTGACTCAGTCGGGCAGGAACGCTAGACCCGTGCCCACCGCGCACAAGGAGCCTCCTCACCCTTTATGGGATTTTTGGATAGCTCCCACACTGTCGTTTGCGGGACTCGATCCCTGGTTACCGGCTCAAGATTTCACGTTCTCGACCAACTGAGCTGCCCATGCGGGCTTCGCATTGGTATATTTCATGACACTACACCAAATATTGTTTCATAAACAAGAGACGGTTGATACTTGATACTAAAAAGATAAAATGCAACCCCACAAAACAATCTTTTTTTCTCCAAAACATAAAGGGAACCTCAAAATTTGTACTAGTAACACCCACGTCATATGTCAATATGTCACTTGAGTCCGGCAATAGAATAATTTTTTTAATTCCATACCATAATGTTTGCTACAAAAAAGAAGTCACATTCTTTGCGTTCCAAAAAGCATCTTGTTTCTATGCATCTCGAAAAAATTTATACCATATGATGGGGAATAACCCCATGCAGCATAAATTTCCTAAGTATCGGGCATGGATGTTCCTGTCCAGTTCAGAGCTCCGCTCGTCTTCCTGCCCGGCTCAGAGATCCGCTCGTCTTCCTGCCCGGCACTGCGCTCCGCTCGTCCCTCCTGCTCGGCTCGGCCAACCAAGCCGAGCCCGAACCCCGCGACAACGACGTGAAGAAAGCGACGTTCAACGAAGACTTGATGAAAGCGATAGGATGAAAGGGACAAGACCTAAGGAGATGTGACGTCCACTAAACGACGAGCCTCGATCAGGGGCTTTGACTTAGTGTATTGTTCCCCCTATAAAAGGGGTGGCACCCCTCATTGTAATGGAGGCGAATTCGGAATCAATATACTCCTACTTTGCATTCTCCCTCTCTCTAAAACTTATATTATTTCATACTCTCGGTGGTTTATAGCCATCACCATATTTAAAAATCTAAAATATTTCCAAAACCTTTTTGTACCTGTAATAAAGAAGAAAATATGACGAATTTTAGACAATATATGTACGCATATAAGTGAATTTAAAGACGCGCAAAATATGAAATAGAGAATTATATTTAGAGACGAGGGAGTATATATATTTTCGTACTTGTTTTTACTCTTTATTCGATGTCAAGCATTCGACGAATCAAGTGGTGCATTTGTTCGCGTAACTAGGAATCAAACTTAATTTTCAGTCTATATTCCATTTGTTAATTATCTCTAGCAATTAAATCTAATAAATAAAAAAAAGTAGAGAATATTGATGTTTCTTTGTCTTAAGGTGTTTATGTCTCTTTTTTATGCTTTTTTTGAGCAATCTTATTAATTAAAGTGTCTGATTACTTTTCATTATTGATAAAAAGAAAGAGTGTCATAGTTTTGGAGAGTAGCAATTGATGCCATCCCTTCAAAGTGGTTACGCCACTAGAAAATGGAGTCTATGGGTTACATACTTCTATCGGCCCAAATTTATCTTGTTAATTTGATCATTTTGGTCTTACTCTCTTACAGTGAAAAATAAATATTTAATAAAATAAATATTTAGTAATGTGGTTTTCAATTAGGTTTCATAATATGGGCCTGTTTGGGAATAACTTTAGCGATTAGCGTTAGCGTTTTCAAAGTAATCTGCACCGTTAAAATTTTATCCAAACCGCTAACGCTAATCTCTAACGCTATTCCCAAACATGCCCTATATCATCAGTGTAATTTTTGTTCAATTCTATAATAATCTTAACTCTTAAGCATGGAGGAGGGGCTCAAACATTGGATGTGAAGAAAGTCTCGTTTGACATCAAAGTTAGAGATTAGCGTTAACATTTTGAAAAGACTATCCAACGGTAGCCTTTAGTGTTAGCGTTTTCAGAATTAATCTGCACCATTAAAATTTCATACAAAATGCTAACAATAACCGAAAATGTTATTCGCAAATTAAACAAGGCCAAAGTGTGAGATGGTTTCCTTTGCACTACGCTAAATGCTTCAACTAATAATAAGTTTAATATATTTGAATTCATTTTAAAATGCAATTCTAATATATGAAACATTTTTTAAATTTACTTATTAAAAATTATAGTTTACTTTTGTTTGTTTGAATTTCTTATCATTTGATAAATAAAATAGTTTTGACACTTTTATAAACTAATCTTTCAATCGCAAAAAAAAATGTTTCATGTTTTGACTTTTTGTGTCAAACTGTGACACTATTCGATCTCAAATTAAATATAATCTCAATGAATAAATGTTATAAAAATTTGTTATATCGAAAGTACAAAGTATATCCTAACATGGATCCAATTATATTGAATTTACATTGTAATTAAATATATTTTTCACAATTTATGATTAAAGAGTTATTATTTGACCCAAAAAATCAAAGCAAGAAAACAATTTGAGACGAGGTAGTATAACTTTTTTATGTTATTTTTAAGTTATTTTTAATTAAAAGGATTGCGGGGGTGCAGAGAGTTTGTACTCCATGCAATACATATAGATGTTGAATTTTTGTATCATGTACTTGCGGTAAACCACATCCAAATTTATTTATTAAAAAAAAACTTTCAAACGCCTTTTTTCTCAAATTTGGTTTTTTTTTTCATTTTTATGTTGGAGAAAATTTATTCTACAAAGTTTTTTTTATGTTAAAAAAATAAACAATAAAAAGTTTAAAATTGGATTCCTAAACAATTATAAAGCATGATCTAATTCAAGAAAGAACTAAATCTAGTTATAAAGACTCATCATTGGGCGATAGAGTGCTTGTGGAAGCCGAGGATTACGAAGAAAGAATATTACGGTGTGGGAGAAATTAAAAGTGACAAAATGTATAGTATGAGGATGAGATGTTGGTCTTGTTTGGAATTAGCATTTTTTATTAGCGTTAGCGTTTTGGATAAAATTCTAACGGTGCAGATTAACTTGATGAAAACGTTAAATGTTGTCGTAGATAGTCTTTTTCAAAATGCTAACGCTAACCTTTAATTTTATTCTCAAACATGTCCATTATGTGTCCTCATCTGTTTTTTGTTGTAAACGTTGAATTGAGAAAGTCATATTCGCACGCCCTACTTGTTTGCCAAAACTAGATTTCGTATCCGTGCGATGCACGGATAAAAAATTTACAAAAATTTAAAATATTTACTCCCTTCGTTCCTTACACTATGTTTGGTTCGAGGAATTTCAAAGGAAAAAAAAAAGAAAATGATTTTCTCTTATTTTCCTCACTAAAATAGGAAGGATTTGGGTCTCTCCTCTTTGTACATTTTGCCTTATTATTACTCCCTCCGTCCCCCTAAGATCTTCTCGTTTTGACTTTTTGCGGTTTTTTAGGAGAGTTGAAAAAAGGTGAAAGTTTATCATAATACCCTTAATGAAAATGGGTGGAGTGTATTAAATGAGGTAGGCGAGATGTAATAAATAAAGTAAGTGGGGGTAGTTGTGATATTTTAAGTGTTAAAAAAGGTAATGAGAAGATCTATGGTGGACAAATAAAAAGGGCTAATGAGAAGATCTATGGGGGACGGAGGGAGTATTTTCTTTTCCTTCCACTTTTATTTTTTTCTTTTTTTCTCTAACCAAACAAGAAAAATACTTTCCTTCTCATTTTGTTTTCCTTTCATTCTCAAAATCTTTGAACCAAACATAGTGTTAAAGTTCTTACCTTATTGACTTTTTGAGAATTAAAGGAGGAATATTTTTATGTTGACTTTCGAAAATTACCATACCCTTAATGGGATAGGTAAAAGTAGGATGCAATTGATATATTATTAATAAAAAGATATGGTATGATAATTAGGATATGAATTAGTATGTGATAAAAATGACTTTTTAATAGAAATAAGAAATTTGATTAAACAAGTTGAAGAGATAGAGAGAGTGTAACGCCCCAAAACATACCCTAGAATTATTAATAAATAATTATTCGATTAAACAAATTTGTTTTGATTAAAATAAATTGTTATTGGGCTTTGGGCCGATACGAAATGTGTTTTGACATCCAATATCAAAATCTAGATAAGTCTCATAGAGATAAATCCAATATGTGGACTATTTGTGTAGTCTTGATTGGGAACCTGAGTACAGACCCAAATCAAGAATAAGTGAATAAATTAATTATGATGTGAACTTTGAAATGATATTTTGAAATAAATCATGGAAATAAATAATATGAATTAAATGTGAGAACATTTTTGAATAAAAGTCAATTAAACCAATTTTGACTCTGTCAAAGTCAAACACTCAAAAATATGATGTCAGAAAAAGTATTACAAATAATTATGAAAATTATATCGTTGGATAGAGTTTAACTGTACGATTGCAACGGTGCAAATAGATTTCAATTTGGAGAAAGTTGGACCAAAAAGTGTACCCCGACTGGAACCAAAATTGGTCCCAATCAGGGAATTTGCGTATCAAATTTTGGAGATCGCCGCTGAATCCACTCAATCGATCGTGAGTCACAAATGACTCAGCAACAATTGGCTACTTCCTTCTCCAAATGCTATAAATGGGCACCCTCACTTATCTCAACTCTGCACAAAACTGCCTGAAATTAGTACCATAAGAATCTAGAGAGTGAGGGGAGTAATTTGATAGTATTAATTGCCGTCGAGGTCGCCGGAGCAAGCCGTGATGTTCGCCGGAAGTTTCGTCGTCCAATCACCGGAATCATCGTTTAGCTCCGAGGTAAGCCCGTAGATATATCTAGTGACTAGAATGTCCGTATAGATCATTTCTACGTTCATAAACGGTCGTTTAGTGTAGTTTTATGTTTGACATGTTTGAAGAACTAAGAATCTTAAACCTTGAATTTGATGTTAAAACTACGAACTAATGACTCTAAAATGATTTTTTAACATTGGAGAACATTTTTATATAATTTAATCGAAGTTTGGTGATTAAAAATGATAATGTTAAAACTGACCAGAGGAAGAAGATGATGAACAGTGGCCGAAAATCGATTAATTACTTACTAAAAATCAATTAGAATTTTATTCAGACCAGTGGTTCGAAGTCAGTACGATTTAATCGAATATTTATATTGTAAAAATCGATTATTATTAATTAATTGATTATTTATATTGTAAAAATCGATTATTATAAATTAATTGATTATTTAAATTATAAAAATCGATTATTATGAATTAATTGATTATTTAAATTCTAAAAATCGATTATTATGAATTAATGGATTATTTAAATTGTAAAAATCGATTTTTAATGAATTAATTGATTATTTAAATTGTAAAAATCGATTTTTATGGATTAATTGATTATTTAAATTGTAAAAATCGATTTTTATGGATTAATTGATTATTTATATTGTAAAAATTGATTATTATTAATTAATTGATTATTTAAATTGTAAAAATGGATTATTATGATTTAATCAATTATTTAAATTGTAAAAAATCGATTATTATGGATTAATTGATTATTTTAAATTATTTTCCTCAATTCCAAATGAAAATGTTCCTAAAAATATGTTCTAAAATCCTATTTTTGATACCAATAAATTATGCACAATATAAATATGATTTTGTATAATAAAAATGATGTTTTTGACATATAAAACATTATGTGATCAATTGTTATGTTGATTAATGATTGTGATGAATGATTATTATGGATGATCATGAATGATGAACTAACTAATCAAAATGATTATTGATGATTGAGCCATGAGTATAATGAATATATTGAAAATTATTAAACGATTTGTATTGTTAACGATATCTAAAAGACTTTAAGATATACCTATTAGCTAATTGATGTTAAAACTATCTAGAAGACCTCTAGAATAGATCTTAGAATGAACTTATGAAAACATGAATAGTTGATGGATTAGATAAAAATGCATAAACGGGATTCGTAGTCCAAACTAGAGGATCACTTGTTTGGGAATGCCTGATCCAATGTTGATCATTTGCTATATTGTTGTTGCCTTAACTGACTACAGTTAAGTGTCCGAATCATTGCCTTAAACTAGTGATAGTTTAAGTGTCTGATTGCCTTAACTGACTACAGTTAAGTGTCCGAAATCAATTGTCTTAAACTAATGATAGTTTAAGTGTCTGATTAATGATTGCCTTTTAAGAATCTGGTTATAGAAATTATGATCTGGCCTTAGACTAAGAATAACTAAGAGCATTATTATGATCTGGCCTTAGACTAAGAATAGCTAAGAGCGTTGTTATGATCTGGTCTTAAATTAAGAATAATTTAAGGGCACTGTCGGAATAATATCTGAATTGAATAAATTGTGTTGATATGAACTAAACATTATCAAAACTATGAATGACTGAAATGAACATTGTGTGCATGATATCAAATGATTTGATTATGAATTTAGATTCAGTTTATATGGATGTTCGACGCATTAGATATGTTTACTCAGCTTTACCGCTGAGCGTGTAATATGTTTTATTTGCTACACGCAGGTACAACAAAAAGAACACTGTGATCCTGGCAGCAGATGGGGCGCGATTGTCGGGATGGATGTGACAAGTTTGAAATGATTTATGATATGTCAAAATTAAATTCGCTTCCGCAATATTGTTGAATACTCCGTACTGTATATGTTATGAAAAATATTATTGTGATAAATAAAAGTGTTTGAAAAGTTTTAAATTTTTATGATTACCAAGTTAAATACTTTAGTCCGAATGGAGTTGCAGACCTGGACGGATTAGGGTGTTACAGAGAGCATATATTAAGAGTTTTCTTTAGTGGGGAGAGAACATTGAGAAATGTTAATGTCTCACGGGCAAAACAATTTTCTAAAAATTAAAATAGAAAGTTATGAAGGTATATGATAACTATAAATTTAAAGGCTATTCTTTTTCAAATGAAAGATCCTCCAAAAGAAAAAGTCATAGCAAAAAAAGAGCATTTCAAAGAAACCCTAAAAGCAAAAGGATGCTTAATGCTCTCTCCGTCCCAAAAAGTTTGTCCCATTTTGACTAAAGTGGTAAAGGCCATGTTCGGAAAATAGCTTTTCGGATAGCTTTTGGCATCTTTGACCGACTGACTTTGGCTTTTTTGAACTTGGCTGTTAGAAATTGTTTTTAAAAAAATCATTTTTCTTGAAAGATATTTTATAATATGTGTAAAAAATAAAAATAGAAATAAAAGTTAAAAAAAATTAAATGCTAAAAAAATCAAATTAAAAATTTCAAAAAAAAAAATTAAATGAGAAAATAAAAAGTAAAAATCATTAAAAAATTGTATATTAATAATTTCTTATGAATTAAATGAAAGTAAAACAATGAAAAATAAATATCGTGTGTGTGTGTGTGTATGTGTGTGTCTATAGGAAAAGTTATTTTCAAACAGCTAATTTTACCAAACATTTTTAACGATCAGCTAATTCATCATGCCGGTCAAACCAGCTAAACCAAACAGCCATGCACAACAGCTGGCACGAACTGCCAACAGCCAACAGCTGACAGCCAACATCCAAACAAGGCCAAAATAAGTAGAGATATTTTGATGGGTAGATTATTAGGAAAAATGTATGATGTGATAGGTAGAGTATGAAAAAGTAAGGAGTAAAAGTGGTTTTAATAGAAATGAAATGGACGTTAAGGGACACAATTTTTTCGAAACGGGACAGACTTTTTGGGACGGAGGAAATACTTTCTAACTATGTGAATTTAAGAGTACTTCCAAATAATACTCCCATCATCCATAAATTTTGTTATTCATTTAACTTTCCACATACTTTTATTTATACATAGGTATATATAATAAAAAATTCAAAACTGTACGGAGTAACTCAAAATGAATCCGTTGATATTAAATTTATATGGTAATTCAATGTTTTTTTCATAATTTGTAACTCAAATTTAAAAAATTGACCTAAAGAGTTTTATTACTCAAATGAAAAAGTGGAAAAATTACATGGTAAGAGACTAAAATCCCAAACAAACATAGACAAAATCCAATCAGAAAGAGTTCTCATAATAATCATACAAAAATCAACCCGTTAAACTGGCCAACATTGTTTGTTGTAACAACGAAGATTAAAAAATAATGTGTTGTCTGGCCCAAAACACCCCTTTTTTCAGAATTAGGAGAACACAGCATGTTTGTATATCATGAAACCTAAGCTAACTATCATGAAGTAACATGAAACCAAGTGTGCTACTGTCCTACATACTCGAAAAAGACTTATTTTCTCCAAATGCACTTTTTGAATTTTGACAATGATACATTTTCAAAATTACTGAAACCTTAATAGAATAAAGTTCATCAATTAATTAATTAACGAGGGGTTGCTTTCGTAATCTGGAGATACGAATGCGACGAAAGGGAGAAGTCGGTATATATACCTTCTTTATCGACGATATTTGAGGCAGGCGGGCGGGCTTTATGGACCACTAAAGACTTAGGGGCTGTTTGACAACTTCTGAATGGGTAAGTGTTGAACCAGTAAGAGGTCTGAACTATTAAATGCTGAACAAGTAAGAGGTCTGAACCATTAAGAGCTAGTATATTGCTTAACTATTCAGAGGCAAATGTCTGATCAATTCAGATAAGAGGTCTTAACCATTCAGACTCTGTATAATACTTAACCATTCAGAGGCAAATCTCTTAACCATTCAGACATCTGAACCATTAAGAGGCTGAAACAAACAGTCTGAACCATTAAGTGCTGAACCATTCAGACATCTAAACCATTAAGAGGCTGAAACAAACAGCCCCTTAGTCCTTCCATCCTAAAACTTTCTTCCCAGAGCACTATTCCAACTTCACGGAAATTTATATTTATTTGTGTTTTTTCATGGCCTATATGATAAAATAAAATATTCTTGTCACCACTTGTTTTGTTGAACTTTTGATGTAGTTTTTAAATATGTATGTTTCATTTTTTATTTCTATACCAATATTTAAATAAAATAGATTGAAAAAATTTGAGATTTTTCTTCGTTTGCGCAACGGGAAGAAAGATATGGGACGGAGGGAGTATAATTAATCGGACACGAAATGAAGAAAAGAAGTATCTCGAGAGGAAGAAACAACATCAAATTGCGCAAAGTTCATCGATCTATTGGGATTTAATTTCTAGCTAGTAAACGAATTACTGGGACGAAGTACGTGGTTAAACCAATTTGTCAAATTAAGAAAAGCGTTCGTTATGGGGTTCGGACTATTGGGATTATTGTTCAGGTCCATATATTTGTACGTGGTCGGTAGCAATTGATCGAAGAACGTCGTGTTGAAGTAAAATAATTAAATTGTTTGGGTTGTTGGGTCCATTAATTTTGATGAAGTGAATTATATGAAAAAAAAAATGATAAAATTTGATATGAGTATGTATTTATAAAAGCAAATCAAATGGTTTAATTTATTTTTTTAAAAAAAAAAACAAACTCCAACAACTCTATAGTTGTTTTACAACGGGCAAATGAAACGTGATGGGGGCGTAAATCAAGATCCTGGGAGTGTCCTACCCCCTATAACAAATGACCTTGAAAGAGTTGCATTTATTAGATGTGGAAAATTGAATTAATATGGTGCCATATCGGAGCGAATCAAACCGTTTATAGTACTCCCTCCGTCCCTAAATAAAGTTTCATTTTTGACTTTTTGAGGATTTAAAGGAGGGATATTTTGGTGTTGAATTTCCAAAAATACCCCTGATGTGTTAAAGTAAGAGGCTGTTTGGCAGTGTGTTGTTTTTAATCATTTAGCTTCTGATTTGAGTAGAAGTGATTTTAATCTGTTTGGCAAGTTAGCTTCTGTTTTTCACCACCACTACTTTGTACATAGAACACCATTTCGGAGAAGCAGGTAGGAGGTGCTTCTGGTTTCAGCTTTTGTGGAAATCATTTTATCCATAAGTTAATCACTCCCAAACACCCTCTAAGATGTGATAGGTAGATTATTAGTAAAAAGATATGATGTGATAGGTAGGGTATGAAAAAGTAAGATGTAAAAGGGGTTTTTAAGGAAAAAGAGAAGTTTATTTAGAGACAAAGAAAAAACGAAAGAGAAACTTTATTTAGGGACGGAGGGAGTATTTTATTTAAATGAGATTGTTTTTTTCTATCTCGAACCAAAACCGAGCCAATATCAGACATGACGGGATTGTGATATATAAAAATTTAAAACTGATTATCACATACCGAACCGTTCAAAACTATCTACGGAGTATGTCAAATGATTACTCTGTATTTTGCCTACTTCATCTTACCATATATGGAGCACTTCTTATTAGATTATTCTTTGGTAATATTCTTTTATTATTTTTGTTATTATGTTTAGAGTAATTTCCATATTTGATTCTTTTTTTAATTTTATGTGATGTTGATGTTAATTTCAAAGCTAAAAGTATAACTTGACATCAAGCTTATATCCAATGATAAATTCTGATATTAGTTAGCCGGATAATACAGAAATAATGACTCTGATTGCGAGCTAAGATTCTAACAAAAGACCACATCTGTAAACTATAGTTGTAGTTGAAAGCGACTGTAATTCACGAACAACGCATTAAGGACGGTTTTTGGATTGTGTATAACAAACCGTCATGGACGACACCCAATTATTTAAGGCCTATAGAGTTTATATTCCGCATCCGTTAGCCAATCTCTCATCAAGTCTTATGCATCCATATATGACTTTTCAAGTCATTTTTTTAAAATACTATAAATATATGTAGTAGTAGTGGTGGTGGTGCTCAAGTAATTAATTAATTACTTAAAGAGTGAACAAACATATTTTTTAAAGAATAATTAAGGAAAATGTAGCGCCGTGATTGGGTATAATCAACCTCACATGGCTATCTCTATAGCAATTGAATTGGACTCTTTAAATCTTTTAATTAATTCTTTGCTTTCTTTATTTCTGGTAACAGTATCATACCCAAACTAAAATTACGGAGTATTATATTTGTATTATATTCTCCCCACGTTTTAGGCTAACCTCACCTCTTCTATCTACTCTATATAATTAATTTTTTATAATTATATTCATATTTTTATGCATATATATATATATATCCTTCACATATTTAAGTTGAAGGTGAAATTAAAGAAGCAGAATTTGAGAATGGGTTCAAGGGTCTGTTTGGCTGTTTTGTTCGTGAAATTTCTGTTGGGTTTCGCCTTTCTCTTCTCCACTGGCGGCGGCGTCGACGCCGTGCCTTTGAAGGTGTTTGACGTTCGGAATTACGGTGCAAAAGCAGACGGAAAGACTGATAATGCCAAGGTAATAAGTTTTTAAATTGGAATTATTTTATTATGCGCATAACTTTCTTTTATTTTATGTCCAAAACTAAGTTTCACTCTTTCTTTCTCTTTTTTTTTACTTTTTCTTCCGAAGATTAATTTTTATACGGATTATATACTTTGAGCTTGGGAATAATGTTTTGGATTAGCCATACTATGTTCTCAATTAGGGTTAACGTCTAATTTTACTCTTTAATTAATCCATATGTTGTTTTTTTGTTTTTATGCTTTAAAATAAATTTGTCCATTTTTTTATTTAAAAATGTGTAGATTTAGCGAAATGAGGATTAATTTTTTAATGATATTTTTTTACTCTCTTGGTCTCTTAAAATCTTTTGCCTTTCTTTTTTCATCCTTCTCAAAAAGTTTTTCTCATTTTTATTAAAAAATCACTTTTATTCCTATTATTTCTAAAGCTATCTATCATATCACATTTATTCATTATTAATCTATTCATCAAATCTTACTCTTTTATCCGTCAAATCGAACTAGTATATTTTTGGAAACTCAACACCAAAATAGACTCTCCATAAATCTTTTAAAAATTAGAACATCCTACTCTCTCCATTCTTGAAAAGAGTTCCACTCTTGACCAAATGGTAAAAAATAAGAAAATGTTAAATTGCATTTAACTTCCAATTTTGCTCTTGATATGATGGGAAAAGTACTGGTCTATAGATTATAAGAGATAAAATATGATGTGATAGGTATGGTAAGAAAAAGTATGGGTGAAAGAGGTTTTTTAATAGAAAATGGAGGTAGAAAAAATGATAGAAGAAGTGTTTTTTGGAGCGTAGGAGTATGTTTTAAGGGCAGAGCGAGTATTATTTTTGAAAATGTTTAAGTTAAACACATCATTTTCAACACTCCTGCACTATTGTGTAAAATTAGAATTTCTGTGTGAAATCCAGATTCTAAATTCTATTTTCTGGTTGAGGCTTGAGAGTATGTAGGCATCAGCCCTGGGAAAAAATAGTACATCAAAAATACATTTTGATGGTCAATAGATTATAATGACAGTCACAATAGTCAAACTCTTGCAACAAAAAATGTTTGGGTATTTGCATTATCAAAATTTTCAAAGTTTGTTGTAATAGTACCGTCTTTGACCATTATTATTAATTACTCCTTTCATCAAGAATGTTTATCCAATTTTAGAATAAGAATCAACTTTTAATTTATAATTAAATAAAAAATAATAAGATTTGTTAATTAGAGATAATAATATTTTGAAAATATTCTACTCCCTCCGTTTGGAAAAAGCCTTCCCACTTTGACTATAAGGCAAAATAAGGAAATGTAAAATTATAATTAACTTTCAATTTTGTCCCTGATGTGATACGTAAAAGTAAGATGTGATAGGTAGGGTATGAAAAAGTAGGGGTAAAAGTGGTCTTTTAATAGAAAGGGGAAATGTTTTGTTGGAAGTGAAAAAAATAAAAGAGAAAGTGTTTTTGAGAACGGAAGGAGTATAATACTTCCACTGTCCCTGAAAACATGATAAACTTTGATTTTTGAGAGATTTAAGAGTAGTGTATTTTGGTGTTTAACTTCTAAAAATATCATTGGATGTGATGTGTAAAAATAAGATTTTATGAGTAGATTATTAGTAAATATATGTGATCTGATAGAAAGGTTAAAAATTAGTAGGGATGAGAAAAGTTTTCAGGACGGATAAAAAATGAAAGTAGAAAAGTGTTTCATAAAGGAGGGAGTAAATCTAATTAAATTACTTTGTTATCAATGTTACATAACTTATGGTCAAAATTTGTCAATTTTAACTGTAAAAAATTAAAACAGAATAAGTATTTTTGAAATAATCTATTAAACAAACTAATGTAAATAAATAATTGTCATCTCATTACTTTAAAAATTGTGGTGTATTATTATTTATGGGTTTATCTGCAGGCATTTTTGGGAACTTGGAAAGATGCATGTGAATGGAATGGGGAAGCAACCCTAAGTATACCCGAAGGGGAATACATGGTTGGATCTTTAACCTTTGTAGGACCGTGCCTAGGGTCGGTCAAAGTCAACGTCGAAGGGACAGTCAAGGCTCCGACGGACCCTAAGCTGTTCTTCGGGGACACTTGGATCGATTTCCGTTACGTTAACGGCTTGGTGCTGGAAGGCGGAGGGACTTTTGACGGACAGGGTGCCTCCGCTTGGCGTTATAATGACTGTAGCAAGAACCCTAATTGCCCTAAACTCCCAGCTGTAAGTTCCTTCGAATTTCATTTAGCTTTTCACATATGGCAATGAAACATTGGGAATATATTCAAACATATTCTTCTATATTAAGATCAAAATTTATAAAATACGACCGAAAAAAAGTAAAATGTGAAGGTTAAATCCAGACTGAGAGAATATGTTTTTGTCTCATTATTATTTGTTGACAAATTTCTTTTATGATTTTTAGGTCCATAATCGTCTTATGAATCTTGATATAAAAAAAAATGATCCAACACTGAGTCAATGAAAAATTAGTGAGATAATGATTCACATTTCACATTTAGATCTTAGAAACATTCCAGTACAACTTTATTCGGTTTTCTATCATAGGCTGTCATATTTATTTATATATCATCTTTTTTTGGTATAATACTCAATTACATAATTAATTTCTCTTATTTTTTTGTGAACTGTACCTATTTTCCAATAATAGTGTGTCATAGTGGTGAGAGAGTGTACCTATTTTACTCTATTTGTCTTCTTTTCTTTTTTTTTTTACAGATTCTAGTTATAAACTTTTTCACATTCTATTTTTTTTTTCATTTCATAAAAATTAAGGCAAAAATATCTTATCAAACAAAAATGTGCATACAAATAAAGTTTATAAAAAAATTCAACAAATAAAGAGAATAATACTCCCTTCGTTCAAAATTAATCTTCAATAATTTTTCTTTTTCTTTTTTTGGAAAACATTTTGTGACTCACCTTTTTTCCTCTTCTATATCACTTTCAATTACACAGTTCCTTTTTCGGCCTTTTTCCGTGCAACGATTTCACTTTACCATATCATACTAAAAAATGAACATCATCCCGTACCCCGGCTGAACAGTTAGTGAGAGAAAGTAAATTAAGCTTTGATCGCAGACTGGTGATAGAAATCAAACGCGAGTCTTACTCTCTCGGCATCCTTTATCTTTATCAACTGCGCCACGTCTATCGATATGATACTCCAATCACGAGGAGTATGCTGGTCATTCTGTTGCTTTTAAGTTTTGACCGTTACGTTGGAGTAGTAGTTGCAGTCTTTTGCTCTAAAAAACACAAATGTTTCTTGGAAGACTGACCGCTGCTGGACATAAAACTGTCTGGACCATTAATGAGTTTATTTGTCCTAGTTCATGTTACTATGTTCACTTCTATCTATTTTGATTAAATTTACTCATACTCTTTCGATTTGTAGTTTAATTTTTTTTATTAAACTGTGACAGCTTTTGACTGTAAATATTTTTAAAAAATTATTTATAATGTAAATTTAGTAAAGTTGAGTTTATTTTAATATATAATTTTGAATTATCAAATTTTATATTATTTGATTATTTTAAATTATATTTAATTCGTGGTAAGAAGATGCTAGAATTTGACCCAAAAAATCAAACTATAATAATCTTTTAACAATGGAGTGAGTACTAAATGTATAATTTTGTCTTTAAATTAGTTTGCATCTATGTTTTTTGTATTTTTAAAGATAAAATTAGTAAAATAGCATAAAGAAAATGGATTGAGTCCAAATTAGTTTGGACTTAGTAACACCTTAATTTTAAGCTTGGGATGTGAGTACTTTTTCGTCTTTAAGCTTGGAGAATTTACTTAAAAAGTACTAAAACATAATGACTTTACCTAAATAGCATCACATGTATTTTTTTCCCAGTGTGGTACTTTTAGTCATTATGCATTAGTCATTATTCAAGTAAATATTTGTCATTACTGGACACTATAGACATTATTAAGTGTTATTTAGAAAAATGATTTAAGTTTTAGTGCTATTTAGTGCAAATATTTTTTAATTTTTTTTATACTTTTTAAACTAGGGTTCAAAGAGTTTGAAAGGAAAAAGAAAGAATTCTTCCTATTAGTCTCACTGAAATGAAAGAATTTGGCTTTCTTTCTCCACTTAGACTGCGTTCCGTTTGCATGATCTGATCTACTCTGATTATAATAAGAATAAGTAATAAGCGGAAAAAATAAGTTGAACGGAATGCTGCTACATCTTGACTTTCAATTCTCTTCCCCCCCCCCCCTTTATTTTCTAATCTTGTATATATTCCAAAGAAAGCTAATTGAATTAATTTATCACCATAGTAAACCCATACTATTGAAATTACTTGTTCTGACCAAATTAATTTCATGCTGTGTTACATTTGTGCAGTCAGTTGGGTTCGCTTTTGTGAACAAGACCACAGTCCAAAACATCAACTCAATCAACAGCAAAAACTTGCATTTCAACGTCTTTGCATGCAACTACATGGTCTTCAACAATGTGACCGTGACGGCGCCGGGCGACAGCCCGAACACCGACGGCATCCACATCGGGAAGTCCACGAACGTCCGAATCTCCAGCTCGGTCATCGCAACCGGGGACGATTGCATCTCGATGGTGTCGGGGAGCGAGAACATCAGCGTGAGCGACGTGACGTGCGGGCCCGGCCACGGCATCAGCATCGGGAGCATGGGGAAGTCGGAGGACGAGTTTGTGAGGGGGGTGCACATAAAGAGTTGCAGGTTTTTGGGCACCCAAAATGGAGTGAGGATCAAGACCTGGGCACCCTCTTACCCAAGCAAAGTGGACAATGTTGTTTTTGAAGATGTTGTTATGACAAATGTCAATAATCCCATTTTCATTGACCAGCAGTATTGCCCTTCTCCTCCTTGTAGCACTCAGGTACATACATATCTTCTTACCATATAGTAGTACTACATGGGAATCTACTGTAAAAATTACATATCCTAAACCTATATATACAGGCCAGCTCGGTTCAGATAAGGAACGTGACGTTCCAAAAAATAAGGGGAAGTTCGAGTTCAAGGGAAGCGGTGATACTGAATTGCAGCAAAAAATACCCATGCCAAGAAGTCAAGCTTATAGACATCAATTTGGTGTACAATGGTCGCAACGGCCCTGCCACTTCCTCGTGCTCCAACGTTCGTGGAAACGCCCTCGGCCAACAGCTCCCACCCGTTGGCTGTCTCCTCTAAAACTCAACCTTAGTTTCATAAGTAGTAGTATTAGTAGGGAGTATAGTGGAGAATGATGCATGGCAAATTCTAACTTTTATAAGTTGTTTGGTGTGATATCTCATCAACCAGGCTTGTGAAGGATCCATGTTTTTTTCTTTCTTTTTTCCATTTTTCTAAACAGTGAAAGTAATGTATGGATAACCCAATGGGTTCCTTTGATTTAAAGTTACTTATAGTTTTACATACATATTCCTTTTATCACATTATATATACAATTTTTTTAAGAAGAACAATCAAAATGTATGGAGTAATTATAATAGATTTAAAACAGAAAGGTGCCTGGATTTAGGCTGCCACAGATTTCGGCTTCGTGGCAACCTTTCTCCAGGAAACACCGGGCATTATCTGGTTCAGGTCAACACGGTCTTTGAATTGGATGGCGATGTTCAAGAGCGAGTCAAGAAGAGAGTCCGAGAGCAGGTGGGGCTGCATTCCCAGCTCTAAGAGTTTAGTGTGTTTGGCGTTGTAGTAATGCTCCTCTGCCTCTACCCTCGGGTTGGGTACGGACGCGGTTTTCACCTCAAGCCCGAGTTTCTCTCCGGCTTTGGTCACAAGAGAAGCGAGCTGGTTGACAGAGAACTGTTCAGTGAACTGGTTGAATACCCGAAACTCTCCTTGGTTTGCGGGGTTTGCGATTGCGAGCTCAACACATTGGACTGTGTCTCTAATGTCAAGGTACCCTCTGGTCTGCAGACAAGAATATATATATAAGAGAACCATATTAAAAGCTGCAAGAACATGAGAAAGTAAAGACTGACCAGTGACCACAGTCACTCATGCCTTTCAAGGAGAAATAGATTCCCCTTATCCTAACTTTTTTTTTTCATTTTCCAAACTTTCAACCAAACATAAAAAATAAATTCATCTTCCATAACCCACTTTCGAGAAATCATCCTTCAGAACCCATTTTCCATCTTTCCAAACAAACCCTCAGAGGATTTTGGTTATATTTGGGCTCCGTTTGTTGCCTAGAAAATATTTTCGTGGAGAATATTTCCCAGATTTAGCTGTGATTCGCAACAGAAAACACATTCAAAAATTTCTTTTAGCAATATACATATATACAGCAAAATCAGAATCATTTATCAATAAAAAGACCATACCTGCCCTCCTTTACCATAGACGGTGAGAGGATGACCCACAGCGGCTTGAACGCAGAAACGGTTCAAAGCAGTCCCAAACACTGCATCATAATCAAATCTGTTAACCAGTTCCTCGTGCATTCCAGTCTCATCCGTTGTGACCCCATAGACAACCCCCTGGTTCAGATCAGTGGCTCTAATTCCCCATGCCTTGCAAGTGAAAGCAATGTTGTGGGAATCGTGGACCTTGCTCAAATGATAAAAGGAGCTCGCTTGTTTCGGATACGGAAGGGTATCCGTTCTCCCATTGTGTGTGATTGTTATGTAACCCTCTTCGATGTCTATGTTTGGGGTACCATATTCACCCATTGTCCCTAGTTTCACCAGATGGCACTCTTCTCTAAACTCCTTTATGGCAAACAGAACATTTAGTGTCCCTATCACATTATTGTGTTGAGTGAACACTGCTCTGGACCTATCCATCATTGAATATGGAGCAGACCTTTGTTCCCCAAAGTGGACAATGGCGTCCGGTTCAAAAGACTTCACGGCTTCTGCTAAGAACTCAAAATCACAAATGTCGCCTACAAAGAGTTGGATATCTTTTCCAGTGAGGGATTTCCAACGGGTTATTCGGTTGTGGATGGATGAAATGGGCGTGAGAGAGTGAAGACCGAGCTGGTGGTCAAAGAGGCGACGAACAAGGTTGTCGACAATGGAAACCTCGTAGTTCTTGTTGGATAGGTGGAGAGCGGTTGCCCATCCACAATACCCGTCCCCGCCAATAACCATGACTTTTTTCCTACTCTGTTCGGCCCCCAACCCCGTCTCGGTTTTGCTCTCTTGATCCGACAAAACGGCCCTAGCACGGATGGTGCATTTGTTTGAATGGTTCCCTCGCGAGACAAGCCCTTTGGGTGAGCTGGAAACTTTGAGCTGGAAGGATTTGTTAGGCATAAAGGCTGAGCCTATGCTTGTTGGCTTGTGGTGAAGCTTAGGGTTCACATAACAAGAGGTTGAGAGCAAATTGGCCATGACAATGTCTGGTTTTACCCCTGAAAATCAAACCCTGAAGCTCACAATTGAATTAACCATAGTTGTCTCTAAACCACAGTTGGTGGGTTTTGTTCAGAACACACAAACCAGCTCTTAAATCAGAACCCAGAAACTAAATAGGGCACTTTGAGAGCAAAATCAAGAATCCAAGATCAACTTTATGCCACAGTTCTAATTTACCCAGAAATGAAATCAAAGGATATTCAACTTTCCAAATCACACAAAGGAACCTTCAAATTCTGAAATAGAAAGTGCAATATCATGACAAACAGAGAATAAAAACCTGAGAGCTGTGAAGCCGGAAGTTGCAGATATGAAAGTAATAGCCAGGAAAGGATGAAATTTGAGGAGAAGTGAGGAGGAAGAAGATGTTTACCATTGGGGAAGAAAGTGGGTGGAGAAGGCGACTCCTCGCTGTGGTGGTTTTAGTGAGGGAGGACAGTGGCGACTGTGGAGCGTTAAGTTCACGTTTTTTGACGGGCAGAAGAAGAGGCTCGGGAATGCTATGGGAGGATATTCCTATGGCATCAAATATTTAATACTCCATCAGAGTACATCTAGACATGGTCCCGGTTCTGAATGGATCCCAAAATTGAAATAGACAATTCCGAAATTGAAACCCAAATCTTTAGGACGTGTATAATTTGAAATGTATAAAAAATACATGAATCAATCCCCGATGGCTCTTTCAGGCTGGCGGCCTTGAAAAAATAAATTAGATTTTAATTGCATATTAGTGGCAATAGTGAAACATGCACCTGGTATTTACAGAGGTCCTATGCTTAGGCCCCGTTTGGTACACAAAATTCAAACTATGGAATTGGAATTGAAGACTTCAATTCCAATTTTGATGTTTGGTAGCACAAAAATTGTGTGGATTTGAAATTGATAGTGCAAAAAATGAATTGGAATTGGTGAATTCAATTCTATGGAATTGATACCCATGGAATTTTAATTCCAATTCAATTTTAATTCCATCAATTCCGTATACCAAACGGACACTTAGCATAATTGTCTATTTCGGATTTGGAACTGAAATCTTTAGGGCGTGTATAGTTTCAAATATATAAAACAAATATATGAGTCCATCCCCGAGGGCTCTTTTAGACCTGGAAGACTGTTATTGAGAAGTAAAGTAGAATTTAATCTCGTATTAGAGGTAAAGAGTGAAGCATACATCTGGCTTTTACAGATGCATTATGATTAGCATAGTTGTCTCACAACGCAGTTGTCAGGAATTAAGCTCGAAACTTACTTCTTTGGCACTCCTTGCTTTTGCCAATTGTGGAACTTCGACCAGCATTTTTGGTGTTGAACCAAAAGTATGACTATTTAGGATTCTTACTGATCGCAATCTAGGATAATCATGAAGTGGTACTCCCTCCATTAAAATTTATATAATTCCTCTCGAATTTCAAAATGAATATCATATCAATATTCTAAAATTTTTCAAACCGGCCCTAACACTACCACATACGAAATTTAAAATAACTTACATATTTTTTATTTTCTTATTCAAAGATAAGAGTTATGCTTTACTCATATTTTATTTGAGAAGTTCAGCCTCTTCTCCACTAGTCAAGCAAGCATAAAAAGAAAAGTTCAACAGAGAAGTTCAACAGTCTTTTCAAAAAGAAAAGACTAGTCAAGCAATGCATTTGAGCCCCCAGAGAAGTTCAACAAGTCCCTCGTACAGCTCATTTTTGAGGTAAAGAAATGGGTGTTGTACGTACTTTTGTATATAGTTCTACAAAATGAAATTTCAATATTTAAGAGAAAACATTAAAAGTTCTACAAAAACAAGATACTATACGACTATGTTGATTTAGTAAAGAAATAAGTAAAATTGAATTATTTTTTTTTGACAAAATCTAAGGGTCCGTTTGGTACACGGAATTGACAGAATTGGAATTGAAATTTCATGCGATTCAATTCCATAAAATTGAATTCTGTCAATTCCAATTCATTTTTTGCACTATGAATTCCAAATCTACATAATTTTTGTGCTACCAAACACCAGAATTGGAATTAAAGTCTTTAATTCCAATTGCATAGTTTGAATTCCGTGTACCAAACGGGGCCTAAGTTTATGAATAGTGAAGGAAATATCATTTTAAAATAGAAGTACTAAAATAAAACACTGGTGGCAATGGAAGAAAAATCTCACCTTGCTTCCCAATAGCGAGTAAAATGTTTTTATAACGGCTCCTGCTCTCTATAATTTGGTGTGGAAAATTTCCAAATGAAAATGACAAAAAAAAAAGAAAGAAAACTATGTGAGGAAAGGGGATGAAGTACCCTATGGTGGGGAGTGAAAAAAAAATATGCATACAATATTTCTAGAATGGTGAAGTTCATAAGTGGTAGAGGTGCGCAAGAATCCTAGTCTCATTGTCCAGATTCGAAATATTCCAGTCTCGTTCCTATACCAATCCGTTTTGTTTTAGACGAATAAACAAGCAGAGATCATAATTCATAACTTGTCTAATGAATTATTAGGGAGTATTTGTAAATGACCAAAATCCTAATTCCTTCCGTTATTGTAGCAACATGGCCCGTTCAAAGCGGAGGTCCATTTTCACTTTCACCCCCAAAATATTTGGATAAACCCCCCCACCCACTTTCACCTGCGCCGATATTCCCTCCCCCCACGACCCTATTAGTTTTCTCTCTCTCTCGTCATCTCCCGAGATAATTGCGGCCAATTCCCAGAAATTAAGCCGGCATTTCCCGGCGCAATTGAAGGATCTATCACAACAAATGGTTGGTGACGCAGCACAAAATCCCGCCTCCTCCTCCTCCTCCTCAATCCGCGGCGGCGAGCAAACCTCCTGCTCTTCCGCGATCCGGCCCAGGGGATCCAGAGTCTGCGCCGCATGCAGCCACCAGCGGCGGCGGTGCCCTCCCGACTGCCCCCTCGCCCCGTATTTTCCGGCGTGCAAGCGCGGAGAGTTCCTCAATGCGCACAGGCTGTTCGGCATTAAGAACCTCACCAGATCTCTCGCCAGCATCGAGGAGGAGTACAGAGACGATTTCATGGTGTCGATCATCTACGAAGCCAACGCCCGCGCCGCCGATCCCGCCGGCGGCTGCCAGAGCACGATCAAGTCTCTCTACGACCAGTTGCGGTGCAGTCTCGCCGAATTGCGATTCGTGAACCAGCAACTCGCGTTTCACCGCTCCAGGCACCATGAGATGCAATTGGCGGCGGCCATGGCGGATTTTGGACCGCCGTTGCAGCCGGCCAGAAGGTATGACGGGCCTCTTCCGGGTCGGGTTTCAATTGGCCCTCGAGACTTTAGTGAAGCCCAATCGTTAGTTATTAGTCGAGGATTCGCTTGTACAGATTCAGGGGCAGCAGTCCCGTTTTGCTCTGATGGGTCACTCAAATCGAGGTCTGTTAAATTCTGAAACTCTTCAATTGTTTATTTCAGTGAATTAAAACAGTTTAGGGTTTACACTTTGCATGTTAAGTGAATTGTTTAGGTTTTTTCCCCTGCAAAATTAAATTACATTTGTATTATTCAATTCTCACTGATAAACAAAACCCATATAACCCATTCTGGGTCGGTGTCAAGATGTAAGTAAACCTTAACTCTATTATTCTCAAAGATCCCGACAAGCAAGTTGATGAGAGAAATATGAACAGAAGTTGACATTCCAGAGAATAAGATGGTTTAATTATCAACATTTTAATATCAACTATGTTTGAGGTGCCTTTCATTGTCATGTACTTGAAATATCATAAGATCATGTCTCATTACAAGATTGACATGGTAAAATCAACACAGGTATATTTGGAATAAATGTTAGTGTTGGGTTTTATATGCCATATATGTTCATAAGTCATAACCACTAAGAATCTTGATATGTTTGGTTTTCTTTTTCTATCATGTCTGTGTCATCATTCTTGCAACCAGTAATAAATGTTGTAGTTATTACATTACAATTCACACAGAAAAAAGAGGATAGAGTATGTGGTTGGGTTATCAATAGCTTTTGTGACAATTTCAAATACAATAATGATATTATAACACCAAGTTTGACATCAATGTTGACATTATCGGGCTATTTTTTTGCACATACGATAATTGTTGGTGAGAAAGTATTGTCCGCTATCATGTTTGCGTCACCATTCTTGCAAACACTACTAAATGTTGTAGTTAATACATTACAATTCGCATAGAAAAAAGAGGATAGATTTTGTGATTGGGTTATCGATACCTTTTGTGACAACTTCAAAAACAATAATGTTATTATAACACCAAGTTTGACATCAATGTTGGCATTATCGGGCAATTTTTTGCACATACGATAATTGTCGGTGAGAAATTATTGTCCGCAAGACATTAGTGTTGTCGACCATGGTATTATTATAGCATGGCTCTTTCAAAAATCTTTGGAGCTAGCTTATTTAGTTCACATTGATAAGTTAGTATTACTTTCTGAGCTAAAATGAAGAGCTCAACTTTTATTTTCATACACTAAGTTTGGTTCAAAAATCTCATTTTCTTTTCTTTTTCCTTTGGAATGCATTGAATCAAAGAGAGTTAATGGCCATGCAATATCTCAGTGAGAAGCAAATTTTTAGGAAGAAAGTTCCAAAGACGCAATTATTGTAGGAATTTGATAACAATGAGTTGGGAAATGTCATAATGAGTTGGGACATATCATAAGTGGTAGGGTACGTAATGTTATTAATGTTCTTAACTAGACTGAATGAAATGGTTCCCTATCCTCTCTGTGTATGACCCTTCTTGGAAATATGAAGATAGGGACAACTTTTATTAGGGATATAAATCTTGCAGTTATTACCATTTAAATGCTGCAGTTTTTGCCATTTTTTAGCAATATCTTTTGTGACATGGAATATTCACAATTCCTTATATGCAGTGGCTAGTTTTAATCATTAGTCGACTATGGGGTACTCCCTTCATTCCATATTAATTGTTCATTATGACTTTCTTGGTACATTGAGAAATGAATGAATGTAGACATAGTGTATGTCTACATTCATTAATTTTTTTAATTTAACAAGAAAGTCATAATGGACAGTTAATATGAAATGGAGGGAGTATGTGCATTGTCAATTGGACTTGTGTACTTTTTTTATGTTCAATTAGACTATTAGAGTGACGAAAAAAGAAATTAAAATAGATATCACCCTAGATAGGATTAAAACATAGAGAAAAGTATCAAAATAGGACTTTTATGTTTTTTTTTTGAAATATGACTTTGCATTGTGGTAATGTGACACTATACATGTGCACATTACAATATATCTTTTTGGTAATGTGTATGGCCATGTTTGGTAATGTAAGTCCTATTTCGAGAATAAAAGCATGAAAGTCCTATTTTGATATATTTTCAATGTTCTAATCCTACTTTGGTCTTTCTTCCAAATTAAAAACCAAATTTTAGCTAACGAATGTGGTATATCGATCTTTAGCCGAGCTTGCATTTTAACCCTATGAAGTTAAGAGTTTTTTTCTAGGATTCTTAACAAATATTATTACGTGCTGTGATGAATGGAATGAAAAATAAATCATGCACATTACACATGTATAAGGGTCATACATCCCCTACAAGTATACATGACAAAAATCATTAGATAAAAAATAGCTTGAAAATGAACCCGAATTGATATCCCAAAACGCTAAAAGATATTGGCCCTGTTTGGCATCAGCGTCAGAGATTAGCGTTAGAGTTTTGAAAAAGCTATCCGACGGTAGCCTTTAGCGTTAGCGTTTTCAGAATTAATCTGCACCGTTAAAATTTTATCCAAAACGCTAACGCTAATCGAAAACGTTGTTACCAAACAAAGCCATTAATGACTCGAAATGAACTTGACATTATCCAAACTTGGTCTCTCAAACTTTTGAAGATAAATTTTGCATAAACTAAAAGTGTCAATAATAAATTATTCATCTCAAACATGTATCAACCTCAATCATAAAATTGACTTTCAATCCGACCTAAACATAATGTTCCAATTGCCAATTCTATATACAATGACTCTAGAATAGACATGATTTCAATTAGCTTTAGCATTTTAAATAACTTTTATTATTACGGAATAAATTTTAAAACATTAAAGTTTAAACATGGTCATTAGAAAATCTTTCTAATATTTTCTAAAACTCGTCTTTAATGGTTCAGATTAATGTTCCATTTTGTGAAGCCATTCAACTCATCTTTGCAACATCATGTTCCATTTTGTTGATTAAACTAAATTAAGGGTTTTTATAATATAAAAAAAGAACAAAATAATTAAATAAAAGGATAAAACTTAGAATGTCCATTTCCATATTGTGACTCTAAGATCAACAGTACAATGTGCACCAGAAGTTGTACCCGCCGTAGGGACTTTGCCCTTGGGAATTGGGGCACGTATCCCTTCACAAGTGACCCGGATTCCCACTTTCTTGCTCTTCATCTTCTCCAGCTTGACCTGCACCATGGTATCCATGGAGATCTTGACGGGCAGCCCGTTTTTCTTCTTCAGATCCGGTTCCAGACCCGAGACCGAATCCGAATCCAGTAGCTGCGTGGGCATCGACAGCGTCGAGTGAATGATGGTGATGTTGTTCGGGTTGCTGACGAAACCCGGAAACGACCCGTTTCCGATCGGGACTTGACCCGAGTACGCGGTGAGGGAGATCGGGTCGTACGCGTAGATCATTTTCGGGTCGGGGTTTTTGGCGGAGAGGGCGAGGCTGAGCTTGGCGGAGAGGCGGGTGGTGCCGTCGGAGGGGGCGGTGGTGAGGTTGAATTGGGATATCTTCAGGGACGAGAGGGAGAACGCCGGGCGCTGCGGCCGGTAGATCACGTAGAACGTGGCGCCGGCGGTGGCGGCGAGGAGGAGCAGGACGGATAGAATGAGGACGGACCAGAGACCACAGATGCAGAGGAATCTCCGGCAGCCCCAGCGGCGGGGTTCAGTTCTCCGGTCATACACAGGTCTTGGCCGGTAGGGGATGCGGCCAGGCGCCTGAGCCTTGACCTGTTGGGCATTTGCGGCGGCGCCGGTGGCAGTGGATGTTCCATTCCTGACCGGCTTGGCTGATGGGTGGACTCTGTCGGCCATTTTTGCTGTTCGACGGCGAAAAGAAGAAGAGGGAGAATATTGAAACAGGGAATAATTCTGCTGCTGTTGTGAAGTGAAAGGGAAGCATAGGTATGAAGATGGCCACCGTGGCATGGGGCCATGCCAATGTTTTTAAAAGTCTCTAAAATACTTTTTCCCCTATTAAAAAATTTTCATATTTTTTTTGATATTTACTGTTTTCTGAAATAAAGATTCTAGTTACTCTGTATTATTTACAAAATCAAATTAATTCTGGTTTTATTATTAAATTTTATTGATCATTTAACAAAATAAAAAACTTTATCATCTCTTATTTTGTATAGTTTTAGATATAATTTTTTAATATGTTATTTATATTAATAAAAATAAAGTTCCCGTTCACTATTCACATGGTCAAATTTTATTCACTTTGTTGGCTTATTTTTGTGTCTTATTTGATAAAATAATATAGTCATGTCACCTCTAGTTTTGTAGATCTTTTCATGTAGTTTTTAAATATGTAATTTTTATTTTTTAATTCCATACCATTTTTCATATAAAATGATTTGAAAATAATTTCAGTCAAACATCGTAACGCGCAATGAGAACTTTATTTATGGAGGGAGTATTAATCAAATATTGTAAATCACAAAGAAATCTTATTTTGGAGTTTTTTTTAAAACAAAGTATTACTCTAACATTTTAACCTTATCAATAACTATTTTACNGGGTTCTAGGCGAAAAGTGTACTCAGATTTATTATTTATACCATAGAAGAAAATATTGATACTGTATGTAATAATTTTCCCTTAATTTTTATTATGAGAACATTTTTATTTCTTTTGTCCCAAAAAAGAATGTTATAGTTTACTATTCAAAAATAAAAAATTTATTTATTCTTACCTTTTTTCGATTATTTGATGGAATATATACTTGTAATATTTATTTTTTATTTTTATATCATTTTTTAAATAAAATAAATTGGACATTTTAAATTTTCATTTTTTACATAATGTGACAATATTTTAGGATGGTGGGGTAATATTTATCCTAACATTAACAATAATCGCAAGAGGCCAAAGGGTGAAAGTGTCTGTAATATGCCATGAGTTATGTAGCAAGCAATATGGAATCTCTTGGCTGTCACTAGATTGGTATTGCCTTTTAAGGTCAATTGCTTCAATCTTGAGGCTAATGTGTCTATTATTATGTTCTTTGATTGCAATTTGACAGCCTATTTTTGTTTTGGATTCATATATATCCTCCTTCTCTTGTCCATTAGGAATTGCATAGCAAATTATGATCTGCAACTTGTAATGTAACTGGTTGCCACCTAACTTGAAAAAAATGACTCCCATCCTGAGGATCCCCTTACATGGTCGAATGATCACTGAGAGGGGGTAAATTGAAATTTAATTGCAGATTGGTGGCAAAGACTGGAGCTTGCACCTGATATTCGTAGAGGCTCTATGCTTAGAATAGTTGTCTCCATGTGCAATTGACAGGATTCGAACTCGAGTCTTATCCCCTTAGCAGTCATTGTCAACTGTGCAATGCGCACCGTCTGCCAATTAATTTGAGACCTAACTTAGAATAATTAAAAATACTCAAATTCCTCCCGCTGCAATAATGTTCTACAAGGGGCATTTACACTTGGAGATGTCTGCCCAACACTATCATCAATACTCTACATTGTCAAGCATCATTCCTAAAATTTTTGGTGTCATGTCAAAATACTTGTAATCGTTTCGACTTTTAGTTATACTTCATCATTTATTTTACATTATTTATCATTTTTATTTAAAACACGCAATGACAACATAAACCACAACACACTTTATTAAAACAAAAACAAAATACACATAATTGAAATAAATTACAAAAAGATGACTTAATGTTGTAAATCATTGTTGCACGCCCAAAGTTCTTCGATTAGATCATCTAGCATGGCTACATTTATCACACATAGTATCACATCAATGTGCAAATTCTTGTAAATTGAGAGGTTGAACTTGAGCCGTTTGACCTCGCCCGACGGTTGACCCAGAAATGAATGGGTCTCCATTATCTGCAAAAAGAGTGATGTTATCTTAGCTCTCTCGTCTTTGATTATCATGTTATGCAATATACTACATGCATAGATGATATCTAAAATGGTGTCGGACCTTTCATTATCGCCACCGCAAATGAAGGACTCTGAATGCACGCTCCATATCTTTCTTGAGCCGACTCTTGTTTCTACGGAACAGTGCCTCATTGGATTTGTCGAACACGTAATAGTTTTCACCAATAGACCATCGTATTATACCGTTGCGTTCAGATGATTAAACTCTACACAACGGCATAATTCAAAATTAATTAACAAATTTTATTAATCACTTATTTTTTGGTCTATCTCCGTAATTAATTTTTTATCAATTAATTAATTCCAATAAGCTTATTTTTCATATGGTTACAATAACTACTTATTTCATCTCAAAAAAACCTTTCTCGTTTGAAAAATATGGGCTTTAAAAATATAATTTTGATATTATTTTCTTAATTTGTCTGTACTATATAACCGAGTTGGATATGACTCATATCAAGTATATAATAGAAAACTAGAAATTAAAAAATAACAATAAAATTACTTATTTTAAAGCCCGCGCGAAAGTGTTTTGGGATAAGGGAGAATAATTTTCTAATTTAGGACATTTTTATCTATTTCAATATGGGTTTAAGATGAATTTTTTTTTTAACATCGGGTATATTCTTTTATCATTTTACATTACCTCTAATAAAATTTGGGAGTGCTGCTCCCAAAACCCCCTACTATTCTCAAAACTCAAAAATGTTCCGAGTTTTTTTGGATAGGTCCAATTGCGCTCTACCAGGCCTTAGGAGAATCGGACCACCTTTTGCCCTTTTGGCCCAAAGCCTCTATACATACCTAATTCACAAGTCATACTAGGCCCGATATCCCTCAGTTGGATTACTATAATTTCACAAAATTGGAACATTGAGGAATATTGACTAAACATCTGAATTGTGCAATGGGACAAAATTAATCATTCAAGAGCTGCGAAATAATGTTATCGGTACAATTGTGGTTTCAGGAAATCGAGTCGGGGAAAAGTTTACATCCTTAGAGTAAATTTGGTATCATCTGATCTAAAGCTACCCTTAAAATTCCAAAGAAGATAACTCCCGATCGCCTCATGTTTTGCTATGACTATCAACAAAGATATGATTAAAAATATTAGTTCTAGATGAAAATGGAAACATCTGCAACCATACCAAAAATGTTGTATACCCTGAAGTCTTTCAAAAAATTTGGTATTAAAATAAACATTGTTAACTCTATATTCTGTTACTTAAATATTATTTATTTTACTTTCGCTTTTTTTCATTTGTAGTATTAGAAATCATGTGAGCAATATATTTTCTTTATTTCGAAAAATAAATTTCATTGAAATAATTTAGAATCGACATAAATTGCAGTCGACCCTGTGCATGGCACATGTCAGAATACTAGTGGAATATAAATATCGCTTAGTGAAAATTTTGTTATGTATAAATAAGACATATTTTAAGATGCTAATAAAATGCTGTTTGGTAATTTATTGGTAATAGACTCATGTGACTTTGGGACCTTCAACTGGGAAAAAACATCACAACATACCATCTCTATGGGTGATGCATCATCATGTGTAAAGGTTAGGACTCTCAAAAAACTGCACAAGTAAATTAACATTTGCTCAATTTTTTATCTTCTTGGCATGGCATATGTGTAAGTTGATAGGAATAAGTTTATACTATCACCACTGATTTGCTCAATTTAGGAAAAGACATACACAAAAATGAATGCTTTGTACCGTATAGAAATACTCCAAACTAAAATTGGCGGTCTCCCAAATTGCCCAAAGCAATAAAATATCCTCAAATGGAGGTCACATTTTAGCACTAGCCTTTCTGATTGTTAATGTATCTTGGAAATATATAAATCACTTCATTAGATTGGTCTTATTAAGATTTTTCAATTTTTTATAATATTAATATACAACACAATTTAAGATCAGTAGTTGATATTTAAATTTTTTTGAATTGACTTGAAAAAACGTAAACTAAAGGAATACTTTGTATAATGGTTGCATACTTGCATCTAGTCTCCCTCCCAACATGAATTACGTAGTAGTGTAGTACACGCTTTGAAACACGTAAACAATCACATGATTTTTAAAATAATTTTATTTATCAAAAGGTATAGAAATAAAAAAAAATAAAACTTACATAAAGTATTTGTCAAAAATTCTACAAAATAAGATGTGACAAAATTATCTTATTTTATCAAATGATCAATGAAAAAAATACAAAGTTACAAAAGTTATCGAGAGACCATATTAATAAAGAGGTAAATCATTTTGGCACGGAAAAAATATTCCACTCCATTTGTCCCGAAAATAATGTGATAGTTACTATTTCGATATCTCAATAAATTTTGTTTGTTTATTCATTTATGGTCACCATTTGATACATAAAAAATTTGTCAAATCTTGTTTTATAGAACTTTTGATATATATACTTTTGAATATTATAATTTGTACTTTTCATTTTTTCTACTAATTTCAAAATAAAATAATTTTAAAAGAAATGATTTTTACATATTGTTCGAGATAATACGAATATTTTAGAAGAGGGAGAGTATTGTTTCATAATCTTCTCAATCATTTTGTTGAAAAAGTAACTTTTCAAAAAAAAATAAATAAATAGTAACTATTTATATTCACTTCTACGTCCAAAATAGTAATTACAAGAAAATGACACGATAGTAATTCTTGAACACATGGTACTATGATAGTGTTCAGGCTCGGCCCAAAAATGTTACAAATTTTTCAAACTTTTTTTTATAATTATACGGCTCGGAGTGACACCGTTTTCCAGTGTCACTAAAGCTGGACCGTTAATTATATGAAACTTTTTACCCCACTGTAACATTTAGCATAGCAGCAAGAATCACAACAAGAGGGTAAAAATGTTTGTAATACGGGACATGAATTATTTACCCAGCATTTAATTTAGTGGGGATGTAATGATGTATTGCCTCTTTGGGTGAGTTGCTTCCATGTTGAGGCTAATGTGTATTATAGTTTATTTATAGTATTACTAGTCCGTTATATATTCTTTACTTAGAAATTTGACAGCCTATTTTTTGTTACCTTATGGGTTCATAATTCTGAAAGTAAATTCTTAAATTGGTATTCCAAAGTAGGAGTAAAACATTGAAAATATATCAAAATAAGACTTTCATACTTTTATTCTTGAAATAGTAGTTAAAATGCATTTAAATTACCAAACGTGGTCTTGCACATGTACAGTGTCGCATTACTACCACATTACCATAGAGTGATTTCTTTATGTGTTTTACCAAATTAGTCTCTAAGATGAGCTCATTATTGAGATGATACTCGTTAATTAAAAATAATGTTCAGCTTAGTCCCCTCACTAACCACCATCAAAATGAGGTCAAAACGACATTAAAACTTGTACTTATTTTTTAAAATGGTCATTTATAATCTATTTTTTTTCAAATTAGTCAATTTTCGAAATAAAATCTCATAAAAAATGGTCTCCCGGCTTCGCACAAACACTGTGACTCAATTAAAAGGGAAGAATTCTTCTTCAGTTTTTTATATTAAATGAAGTTTTACATCAAAAATGAATTAATTTGAAAAAACATCCAATTATATATGATCAGTTCAGACACAGCTTCAAATATAAATACAACCAGATTAGTTATTATTTCAATTCATGTGAAGAGAATCTATCTTAAAATCATATTTTATACCGATTTACGGGGTCAACCAAAGGTTTGGCCAACACCACATACTAATGCCATCACTAACCGCCCGGCCGCCGGCACAACCACTGGCGGCCACAGCCAAAGGTGAGAGGGGAAGGACCCCCCCCCAGTTTTAAAAACCGGACCGGACCGGCCAGTTCGGACCGTGAATCAGTGGTCCAACCGGTCTGGTCCGGCCCATTGGACTGTAACCTGCTTCGAACTGTCCGGTCGGACTGCTCCGCCCAGTTTTTTTTTTCCTTTTTTTTTGCTGATTTTTTCCAAAACATGCCTCCATGGGGGTTGAACCCAAGACCTCTTAGACATTTGGTTGAGCTTCTTACCATCCAAGCAATGGTGCTTTTTATTATAAGTTCACATAATCTTTTATAATATTTCATAATTACAAAAAAGATTGTATATAAATTCCTTTTCAATTTTATAAATATAATATTATATAGCTATGAGTCAAACACAAAATCATTGATATTATTGATACTATTACAAAATGCAAATCATGCAAAGATTTCGTTTTTTTATACTCCGTATTAAACAACTTATTTGAAAAAAAATAAAATCAACTCTTCATTTAAAATTCTTTTATATTTTTTTAATATGTAAATATTATTTTTTAATTTTAAAAAATAACTCAAGTATATTAATATAATATTACTTAAATGTTATAAATTATTTTCTTAGATATTTATAAATGAGAATGTGTGTGTGCCTATATGTATGTATGTGTGTGTAAATATATATACATATACATACACACAGACATATATATTTATTTATTTATATTTATATAATTTTTAAATATGTTTAAACCACCGATTCGACCAGTTGAACCACTGATTCGACTAGTAAACCAATGAACCAGTACCTTAACCGGTTCGGTCACCGGTCCGGTTCTAAAAACTATGCTTTATATTATCGAATTGGTTCAACTCATTTGTGCTCTCGAGTCCAAAGAAGGTGCCCCCACTCCAAGAAATATTCCCAACAGCCAATCAGCCATGTCCAAGTCTTAAAAAAAAGATTTCATACTCCAATTTCAATGTTGGTTTACTACTTTAATATACTAAGGGGCTGTTTGTTTTATCCTCTTAATGGTTCAGATGTCTGAATGGTTCATCACTTAATGGTTCAGACGGTTTGTTTCAGCCTCTTAATGATTTAGATGTCTGAATGGTTCAGACATTTACCTCTGAATGATTAATTATTATACAGAGTCTGAATGGTTAAGACCTCTTATCTGAATTGATCAGACATTTGCCTCTGAATAGTTAAACAATATACTAGCTCTTAATGATTGAAACCTCTTACTCGTTCAGCACTTACCTATTCAGAAGTTGTCAAACATCCCCTAAATATGATAACAAAATTTATTTAAATATCGATGTAAACTTTTAAAATAAAACTTAAAATATATACTTCAGTTATTTTGACACTGATGGCCTGTGTCATACTCCGTTGTATGATTTGGAATATGACACTCACTAAAATTATCACTCCATCCCAACCTTTAATCGAAACTCACCAATTAAATTAACTTGCAGGATTACATGACACTTATAAGTAGGTCTATTTTTAAGTCAATTTTTTCATTTTTTTTCGTTTTAACCGGATTAATTACAAAATTATTCTTTACCATTTATGAATATTTACAAATGACTTACATATCATTTAAGTCATTATACTTCCCCGAAAGAATATTTGACTTATAAGCAGCTTATACGTTAAAAGCTAACAATAAACTACTCCCTCTTTCCCGTTTGTGTTCACGAGATTTGACTGATTTTATTTTCAATTCTATTTATTTGATTGTAGGTGTAAAATTAAAAAATAAAATTTATATATTTAAAAACTACATCAAAAATTTTATAAAATAAGAGCAGACAATACTATATTATTTTACGAGTATCAAATAACTAAAAAAATTAGGTAAAGAAAATGATTTAAGTTTGACAATGTGAATAATAACTGAGAAGATAGTTTTAAGCTCTAATCCTCTATTCACATCTAACCAACCAAGTTACACACCCATAATGACTTTGAAATCCTAAATACGAGTTATAACCTCAACAAACAACATACTCATGTCAAGCAAGAAAACCTTCTTTATAGTCTTCAAGTAAGTTTGGGATTTGCATTTTCTTATCAAAAGTCATCTTTTGTCATATGCCAATTGACTTGCTTAAGTGCTTGTTGATTATGCCATTAATGGCTTACTCTATTTCAACTTTTTCAAAAAGTTTTGCCTTTACACTATAGGTTGTGAAATCCAAATAGTGCTTAATGATTTTGGGGAGGATCATTTGCAAAAATAAATATTGTACAGGGATGATTTGATTTAAAATATAATTTAGAGGGACTAAAAACAAAAATTACTCATTTCACAAAACCAAAAGTTTATTTAACTCTTTTTTTGGTTACTCTTACTCCCTCTTATAATGATCTTTCCGGTTCACAAAACGAAAAAAATTCCAAGTTTTTTTAATTTATTTTATTTAAATATTGGTATAGAAATAAAAAATAAAACATACATATTTAAAAATTACACCACAAGTTCAACAAAACAAATGGTGACAAGAATATTTTATTTTATCATATAGGCCATGAAAAAATACAAATAAATATAAATTTCCGTAAAATTAGAATAGTGTTCTGGGAAGATCATTATAGGACGGAGGAGTACTTAGTTGTGCAAATCAACCCAAATAGGTCATCCTTTTTTAAGAAGGGTGGGTTGGGTGGGCCGAAAAAGCAAACACCTAAAAATAGTCCAAAATAGATCTCCGTGTGGGCCCGAAATGACAAGAATGCCCATTGGACCAACCCTACGGGTTTTCAAAATGATTGCCATTTGCCTAAGGACCAGATAAAAATCCAAAATCACAAAGTGGAGCAACTTTCCGGTTTTATACAAGAATCCAAAAACAAAGAACAATTGTAAAACGACCCCTACAGTCCTAATTGTTTTATCTTTCAGCCCCTCTACGATTCACCCCCTTGTACCTGAGAATGGAGTCCGCCCTCTGCAACTCCAGCTGCTGCCGGAACTTGTTGATGAAATCGTCGGCCTTCGCGTCCACCTCCTCGTCGGCCTCCGTCATCACTCTCTCCTTCATCGTCGCCGGCCGGCGAGCCTCCACGTCCACCTCCTCGGAGTCCAAACAAGCGGCTTTCATGCTGGCGGATTTCGTCATCTTCGCCGGAACCCTGGCCGGGTTCTCCCCGGTCAACGGCATCGCGTCTGAGTCGTCCCTCTTGCTGGAACCTCCGTCCAATCCGCCCGGCCTCTCTGCTGCCTCTTCTTCGATGGCTGCCTGGAACTCAAAACGGGTCCGGATCGGTTCGGGTTTCTCATCCAGGGCCACAATCGGGTCAACGCTTTCTACATGTGAAACGATCTGGGCCTCGCTTTCCGGGAGGTAATCCTGACGGAAAATGTAACTGGCCGTCTGGATCAGGCTTTGTGGATTCTGGGCGGAATCGGGTTCGAAATCCGGGTTAGGTTTCAGAGCGGGCTCGGGAGATCTGAGAACGGGGAAATTGATGGATCTGAGACGCTGAAGAACGGATGGAGATCTGGGAACCTTGGGGGCGGCAGATGAGGATGTGGATGATGAATCGTGGTGGGACTGAGGTTTCTGGTTGGCTAGGGAGGAGGTGAAGGCTATGGCGGCAATGACGGCATTGAGGATGACGAAGAAGACGGTGGGAGTGAGCCAGCTGTTGATGGCTGCGAGGACGGAGGAGGGGACGATAATGGACACTGTCTCTGCAAACATTGTATGCTCTGTTTTCTAGAGAGAGAGAGAGATGGCGAGAGGTGAGGAGTTGCAGACTTGCAGAGGTTTGGAGACGGAAGAGCTGAGAGAGTGGCGCACTGTGGCAGCGAGGATGTGGCCAAAAGTGAGCTGCTTTTCATTCTGTGGTTAGAAATATGAAAAATGCTAGGGCTACACCAAAGGTATACTCCATTTGTCCTCCACCCCTTTCTCTACCATTCATTTTAACCTCATTTGTATTTATTTAATTTTGTTTTAATTTTTTGCTCATTTTTGTGGCTCTAGAAATATACCCCATTCCTCTCACATTAATCTCTTTTTTTCTAAATAATATGTAATATTTTATCAATTTTTTTTTTAAAAATAATATACAAAATTTAAAAAAAAAATAATTTACGTAATACTCCATAAAAAACTATATTAAAAATTTTACAAAACTAGTTGTGAATTTCTTATGCTATGTTGTCAAATAATCAATACAAATATATGATCTCCATCCTAAAATGATCTTTTCCATACACTATTCATATGGTCAAATTACGTCGTATAATCATTTTTTTGTACCTATTTTTGTTACTTTTTTGATAAATAATATAGTTATGTCACCTCTTATTTTATATAATTTTTTTTATGTAATTTTAAAATATATTCTATTAGTTTTTATATTTTAGTTTTACATCTGATTGTGTAAATTAATCACCCGGGCAAATTGTTCTATATCTAGAATAGTTTGTTGACCTTAGAGAGTAAAAAAGTGCAGAAAGCAAGATAAAAAAACCTAACATATACTCCGTATTTAATTGATCAAAATAGTTTTAAAAAATATATTTTTATTCTGTGCTATGTGTTTCAGTCCGATCCAGTCCAAACTCGGATAGATTTAGATATGGTCTTTGGTCCGAGATTTTATTTAATTCAGTTTTCGCTCAGTTCAATTCGGTCTAGTTCAATTCGGTCTTGGATCAATGAACAGCCCTAGTTACTGTGGTAACGGAAGCCATAATATGTGGCCTTAGATGGATGGACCATAAACTTGGTGAACGACTCATTTCAATATTTCGTAGATTTGCTGGGCCATTCATAGATAGACCCATTGGACCATTGGTAGGCCGAGTGCAACAAGACCACGTGAGATCTGAAGCTTTGGAAATATGTAGAAATTAATTTTGTTTGGTTAGGTGTGCTCTCACATTCCTTTGAACTACTTCCTCCGTCCCAGAAAACTTTTCTTCTTTCTTTTTTTTCCATTCGTCCCAAAAAATACTTCTCATTTTTATTAAAAAGTCACTTTTACCCCTTACTTTTTCATACTCTACCTATCACATCATACCTTTTTACTAATAATCTATCCATCAAATCATACTTTTACTCATCACATTAAAGGACATTTTTAGAAATTCAATACCAAAATACACTCTCCTTAAACCCCTTCAAAATCAAAACTTCCATGTTTTTCGGGACGAAGGGAGTATATAAAAGACTTGCGGTTTCTTTAGATAATGGTAGAAGTGAGTAGAAAGAAATAAGATATTAAGATGGAGAAAAAATATATACTCCGTAAAAGAAAAGAAGTATTTATTGATAATCTTATATTGCCTATATTATTTTTTTCTAAAATGAAACTGCCTGATTTGTGATTTTTTATAATTCAATATAAAATTTTCCCTAAAATAGTAATTCAAAAGTTGTGAAAATGACACAATATTTTTTTCTCTGAAACGGAACTAATAAAGTTTATAAATCACTACATTTTTTTTGTATTGCAATTTCTTTCTTGACCGATAGTCTGAATTATTTTTAATAATTCAATATTATATTTTCCCAAAACAGAAAACAAAATTTGTAAATCGTTAGACAAATCTCTAACAAGAGTGTATTATTATATTTTTAAAAATATTGATTTTAAATTTAAAATAAAAAAAATTAAAAGGTAAATATGTCTAAAATAATATCACATTTCATTGATTTGCAAAAATATGCATTTTCTAAAATTTCCAATAAGTGGTTGTTAGTTTTTTAACGGTAATCCAAAACTCGCACACATGTAGAAAGATGAGATTATATTCGGTGGCAGAAAAAAGTAAAATTATTTTTGAAAAAGTGTGAATTTTTGAATTTTTTGTTTTTGTTGGGATTATTTTTGATTAATTTTTGTTTTTTAATTTTTTTTGAAATTTTTAATTAAATTTTTTGAATTACTTTCAATCTCAATTTCTTTTTCTTTTTTAAAGATTATTCTTACCTTAGAAAAAAATACATATAAAAAATAATGAAAATGAGAAAAATAACTAAAACCATACAAAATTAATTAAATAAATAATGTAATGAATAGAAATTAAACAGAAACTGGTAAGAAATAAAATAAATATATACGGAGTGGTGGGTTTTAACATTTTACACACTATACGGAGTCTTAATGTACTACTTCTTCCGTCCCAGAGTATTTGTCCACTTTCATTTTTACACACTATCCAATACACTTCTTTAATCAATTTTATCTTGTAATTTGTATATTAAATAATTATAGAAATTATATATTAATAATCTATATGCTAATACAAATCAAACAAAATTACACATGACTATATTTAGGCTTACACATTGAGAGAATTTGATGAGTTAAAATGTTTAGATGAACAATTCCAAAAGTCAAAAGTAGACGAATATAGCGAGACGGAGGGAGTACTTATTTTTTAAAAGAACAAGCCGTCCGGTAAAGTTGGAATTATTTTAGATAATTTTTTCTAAAAAATAAGAAGTGATATGTTAATACGTTGTATAATGCGTAAAATATTAAAATCCACCCGTATATTTTTATTTTACTTTTACCAATTTCAAGTTAGTTTCCATTGATTACCTTATTTGTTTTATTAATTTTGTATCATTTTAGTTACATTTCTCATTTTTTTCATTTTTTATATCTATTATTTTTATTTATTAAACTAAGACTAATTTTTAAAAAAGGAAAAAGAAATGGCGATGGAAATAGAAAGTAATTTAAAAAATTTAAATGAAAAATTTAAAAAAAATAAAAAAAATGAAAATTCATCAAAAATAATCTCAACTTTCATTTTGTTGCCTAAAATTGGCATTTCCGTTAACCCTCCGTTAGAAACTTAACGGCGACCCAAAACTGACAAATTTCAGTAAAGTTGGGATTATTATTGAAAGACCGAGTAAAGTTGGGATTATTTTTGAAAGACCGACTAAAGTTGAGATTATTTTGGGTAATTTTTTATTTTTTCTTTTAAATAAGTTACTCTTGATTTGAAGAGTAGAAAATAGATAGTAGAAAGGGTGAGTGTGGGTGTTTTGTTGGAATAAAATGACTAGGAGGTGTCGACACCCTCTTCCTCATTCTTTTTGCCAAGACGACCCCCCTGTTTCAAAGAATCACCAATCCTTCGTCAAAATGTCGACATCTCTCCCTCAAAATCTCCCTCTTCCCTCTTTCTCCCTCTCTCAATCCCTGACGTTTCCCGTTTCTCTGCGCACGATAAAGTCCTCCCCTTTTTCGTTTCCGAACTCTGTTCCGTTCTCCTCGCCATCACCGCCTCCATATTCGGAGACGGATAGAATAGAGCTTCGCGTTCTGTTATCATGTCATTCCTCGAGGTTCGCCCTTCACTTCCCTCCCATTTCTTCTTCTTCTTATTATATATTCATTCTCTGTTTAAACCCGTGATCGCTTTTGATCCTGGGCGAAATCATTCTGATAAAACTGTCAATCTGTCTGTGTGTTTTAGGGTATTCTCCCGTTTTTTATGGATCGAATTACAGAGGAGACGAGCGGCTTCGCAGGTAAACTGCCAATTTTGAATTTCTGCGTCTCAGTGATTTAAGATTGAACTTGGAATTCTGGGTTTTGGTTCTGTTGGTTGATAGTTGATTCATGCTTGAATCTATTTTTGGCATCTTTTATTTTTCTCATTTGATTGTTTGTGCTCATTCATTATGCTCTTTGTCCATCGCATGTTTGATGTTTTCTTGATTATGTTTCGTTTCTAAACGAATCGAAGTAAATTCCACTAATGAGCTGTTTTTCTGCTTGTTTACACTATTCCACATGGAAGTTTGTACTCACTATGTTCTTTGTTCATCTCATGTTTGATGCTTTCTTGATTACTTCATCCGTCCCAGAACGACTTCCGTGTTGCACGTTATGATGTTTGGTCTATATTATTCTTAGTTCTTCAAATAATAAAAACTTGACTGAAATTTCATTCTTTGATCGATTTGTAATGACATCAAAGCTTGTGCATCTACCCATCTTTCCTACCCACAACTAAAACAAATCACAAAATATGCTGTCAACATTGGAATGCTTGGTCTAGACATGTACAGAGTAGCAGTTTTTTATGCAATGTTTTTTTATTCCGAAATGAATAACCAAGTGAAAAACAGGACGAAAAGCTAAGTCTCTATGCTTTGGTGTGTCAAAACAGGCTCCTTTTTGCTGAGAGTTTCTCAATCTATGTCTAACGACAGCTGCGGCAGTTCTGACAGTGGGCCAGGGAACTGCCAAGACAGTGGGACGGCTTTCGTCCTTAAAATGGTTGCAATTGGTTTTATCCTAATCGCCGGCGCATCTGGAGTTTCATTTCCGTTAATCGGAAATAAACGACGGTTCCTTCAAACAGACTCAAACCTCTTTGTTGCTGCCAAAGCCTTTGCAGGTGGTGTCATCCTTGCCACTGGTTTTGTCCACATGTTGCCCGATGCCACCGAGAATCTGACCGACGCATGTCTGCCAGATTTTCCTTGGTCGAAATTCCCGTTCTCCGGATTCATTGCGATGATGTCAGCACTGGCTACATTGGTTGTTGACTTTGTCGGGACCCAGTATTACGAAAGGAAGCAAGAGAAACAGAGCCAAAAAGGAAACACTGAATCACTTGAGGCAGCATTGTCTGAGTCTGCAATTGCTCCCGTGGAGATAAAAGGGAGGAATGGAATGGTGTTTGGGGAAGAAGAGGGAGGCACAATTCACATTGTTGGAATGCATGCACATGCTGCTCACCACAGGCATAACCATTCTCAAGAAGTTGGGGCATGCCAAGGCCGCACCAAGGAGCATTCACACGGCCATTCGCACTCTCATTCACACAGTATTGGTCACGAGGATGATGAAAATGGTGCGAGGCACGTAGTTGTTTCACAGGTATTTTTGTTGCCTTTTACCTTTTTTTTCCGCCCCACTTTTTTTGTTGTCTCATGCCATAATAGGTCAAATTTGTGTGGTTTACCTTCTTACTTCATCTCACTCCCTCTAACCTGGTTTAATTGTAACACTTTGATTTCATGGAGTATAAGAAGAGTGTTACATAAGTAAAAAGTGGATTGGATGAAATTTGTTGAGAAGAAAGAGAAGAGTTGTGGAATGTGGAGTACATATTCTTTACTTTATTAGGAAAGTAAAAAAGTTTGAAGATTTTGGATCAACCTAAAAGGAAATTGTGAAGTTCAATTTGCGACAAAGGGAGTAGTTTATAACTTATAAGTTGTTTATAAGTCAAATACTCTTTCGTGGAAGTAAAATGACTTAAGTGATAAGTAAGTCATTTGGAAATATTCATAAACGGTGAGGAACCATTTTGTAAATAATCTGGTCAAAACAGAGACACAAAAAAACT